ACTTGCATCATGGTGTCTTATACCCAGAATACTGGTCGCTGCTTCATGAGTGACAACATAGCCGGGGCATCACCTGAGATTGTACAAGCTATCATCGCTGCGGCCACTGAGCATACTCCACCATATGGAAACGACACCATCACAAAAGCTGCTCGCCAGAGGCTACAGGAAATATTTGAGAGGGAAGTAGACGTCTTCCCAGTTTCGACCGGGACCGCGGCAAATTGCATCGCCTTAGCCTCGCTCGTCAAGCCTTGGGGCAGTATCCTTTGCCATCCGGACAGCCACATCAACAATGACGAGTGTGGTGCCCCAGAAGCCTTCACAGGCGGCTCTAAACTCGTCGCGGTGGCTGGAAACGACACCAAGCTCGATCCTCATTCTCTGCGGGCTGCAGTGAGCAAAAAGGCCGGCGACGTTCATTGTGTCCAACCCTCTGTTGTTAGTATTAGCCAGGCTACCGAAAGCGGAAGTGTCTACACGGTCGATGAAATTTGCCAGCTATCCTCAATAGCCAAGAGTGCAGGTTTGCGCGTCCACATGGACGGTGCACGCTTTTCAAACGCTTTGGTTCACCTTGATGTGTCACCAGCCGAGATGACCTGGAAGGCCGGCGTTGACGTCCTCTCTTTCGGCTTAACCAAGAACGGCGCGATGACGGTCGACGTCATCATCTCCTTCGACCCTACGTTGGCATCGGAGCTGGCCTTTCGCCAGAAGCGAGCGGGCCAGTTGGCCTCCAAGATGCGCTTCCACACTGCCCAGATTGAGGCCTACCTCGCCGATGGATTATGGCTGCGAAATGCCCGCCATGCGAACGGGCTAGCTGCTCGCCTGGCTGCTGGTATCAAGAGTATCCCTGGGCCAGAGCTTCTCAAGGAGCCGGAAGCCAACATACTTTTTTGCCGGCTGGAACTGCATGTGATAAAAGAGTTGCTTGGTCGTGGCTATCATTTCTACCACGACCGATGGGAGCCCGGAACGGTTCGGTTTGTAACATCTTTCTCACATGCTCCTAGCAGTGTAGATGAACTGATTGAGGCTATTCGATCTTGTTATGTCACGAAGCTACAGAACAAGATTTAGTTGTATGTAGTAGAAATAGAACATGAAGCAATCTAACCAAAAAGCTCTTATTTTAAATATAGTAATCATTGTGTTGAGCTGTCGGGTTTGGCATTTTTGATAGCTGTTTTTGACCTCATAATCTACCTCTCTCGTCCGTATGGTTTGAGTACCTATCTTAAGCAAAAAGCACACCTTTATAACATATTTGAAGCCTTGACGGTGAGATCAGAATAGACCAAGGCAGGCTCAACGAGACTCCATCCACACTATCTACACCCTCGGCGTGTCCATAGGCACGGCAAGTGGATTCCGACATTCCACTCCCCACGCCTTACGCCCTACGCCCTACGCCATGCTCCCTATGCAGCTACTCCTGACTCCCTACTCCCTACCCAGGTAGTTGACTAATGATAGATCCGCTCTCCAACCTTTTGGCTGGTTGGCTGGCTTTGAGCTATCTAGTGAGGCGGAATCAGCATATTGAGACTCGCCATTACTTGTTGATTTGCCGAGTCGATACCGTTGACGTAAATCTTGTAAACAAGCTGAGGCTTTACTTCTCTGTCCACATAATAAGCGTTATCCGTTTCCCCGGGCGAGCAGATCACTCGACCCTGCCAATTGGCTACCAATGCCGAGACTGGCAGTTACCCGTTGCAAGTAGGCGTTGTTACCGAGGTCTTGAGCCTTATCTAGCTGATTAGTCTTCCCCAGGAACTAGATTTTATGGTGGCCCCTGTTAGATCATGCTCCCCGCGTTGAGCCATGAGATGTACAGAAGTTGACACCATGAAGTTCTCCACACCCATGGTTTCCCCAGACTATGACTTATCAAGAGTCACTACAGTAGGCTGTTTTGTTGAAATAGACTGCAACATCTCAATGACATGAACATGTTCTCTCTCTTTCTCCATTCCACCACTCCATCACAGGCACAATCGTGAACATGTCCGCCTTTAATGACAAAAAGACTGACACAGAGGGTCTCTCCACCCTGTCCTCGCAGGGCTACCAAGACAGTAACGAGATTGTCCATGATGCCGTCTTTGGCGAAATCAGCGAAGACGGCCCTGACTATCGGAATATGAGCCTCTCCTGGGAGCACTTCTCATTTTTGCCAAACTGATATCCCATATAGGTCGGATGGATTGGATCCGCCATTCTCATGATGAAGATCCAGATCGGCCTCGGCGTCCTCGCTCTCCCGGCTGCCTTTAATGACGTAGGCCTTATCCCGGGGGTTATTCTCCTATGTGTCGTCGGCGGTATTGTGACCTAGACTGTGTGGGTGGTTGGTAGTTTCAAGTTATGGCTCATGAGCAGAGCCCTCTTCTAAGAAGCATTGAGTACATCAGATCTCGGTTTCACTTCCGACATTGGTGACTCGGCGGCTCTGTGGGTGTCCCTTACAGAAGAGTGGCCTGTATCAAGTGGCAGAGAGTCCTGTCACTTCGGTGCAAGAGGCAGTTCGCGCCGATGTTCTCTTGCTTACACATCCAGATCCTCAATTTGAACACCTCAAAGAGAGATGAACATTATTTCTCTGCAGGCCCTATGCAAGGCCGGAAATAAGTCCCGGCTCAAAGCCTCTCCAATCTATTGTTGCATGCCCGGAATCCAGAAGATGATACCGGGCCCACCCTCCCCATTGTCCAGCACCATTAGGATCGATGACTTCAACTCTTGCGCCATAACTCCCCTCTTTGGGGTGCTGAGACATGCAAACTGAAAACCGACCAGCTCTTTGTGTCCTTTATTCAGCAACACCTAGACACAATCCCAAGACGTCTGCTCAGAATGCGGCCAACACAAGCAACTGCCCATGCATACGTATTGGAGACCCCGCATGGTCGCTTGTCGGGGATTGAGCAGCGAGATGTCTCGGGGAAGCCCGTCCTCTACCGCTTCACCAAGATTCCATATGCATTGCCGCCGGTTGGGTTGCGGCGATGGAGGCGGACTCAAAAGCTGCCCTCTGATTTCTCGTTCAATTCTGCCTCGGGAGAGCCAGGAGATTACTCCCAGTTCGGCCCAATCTGCCCCCAGCCTGTATATACCCACGGCGCTGCTTCCCTCCCTAACCCCAATGGCGCACCACCCGTTGTGAACGTGGAGGACGAAGACTGCTTATACCTCAACATCTGGGTGCCTGCCGGAGCTCCCCCCGAAGGTGGATGGCCAGTTCAATCCTTCCTTCACGGAGGCTGGCTGCAGGTTGGAAACGCCAATCAGAAACATGAGAATGACCCAATAGACCTTCTCAACGAAGCTGCTCCGCGTATCATTGTCTCACCCACCTACCGCCTGAATGTATTTGGCTTTCTCGGAGGCAAGGATTTAAGCTCTATCGGCGAAGACCCTGCCGCTGGAAACTACGGGTTCTGGGACCAACGGTGCGCTCTAGAATGGGTGGCCCAGTACATATCGGATTTCGGTGGCAACCCAGGCAACATCTCGGTGGGCGGGCTGTCAGCTGGCGCCAATTCTGCTTTTTATCAACTATACTACGACGCTCGCTTGCCTGTCTCCCAGCGACTAATCCGAAGGATCTATCTGTGGTCGAATGCTGTGGCGATCCAGCCGAGTGCCACAGACTCGGAGACGCTCACAGGACAATTCAACGACCTCTGCTCTCTATTCGGCATATCTGCAACGGAAAAGCCAGAGGAGAAGCTCTCGAGACTTCGCCAGATCCCGTCAAAAGACTTGGTCGATGCCCTTTTCAAGCTCAAGCTGCACACATTCCGGGCCAGCACCGACAACGACTTCATCCCTCCTACCTTTCTGTCATCGCTGCACTCTGGATCATACACCACGCTTCTGCACGACAACGGCACTTCCGTCCTACTAGGAGAGGTCAGCGACGAGAAGGAGCTCTACAAAATCACGAACCCGCCTAATTCGCGCGCGAGCCTTCAGGTGGAGCTGGAGAACTACTACCCAAAGGTTGTATGCGATGCTTTGCTACCTCTGTATGCCGTACCGGAGCTCGGATCGGCCAACGACACGCCCGAGGCGTATGCGGAGATTTTCGGGCAGATCGTCGCCGATGGACAGGTCCACGCGTCGATCCGGGGTTTCGCTCATCTACTCTTGAATCCTCCGTCCGGAGAGAATGTGCGACCATTGCCGACTGAGAGGGTTCACCGGTACCGAATCTCATGGAGGGCGAAGGCTCTTGATGCGTGGCTCAGGCCGGAGCTGGGAGTGTTTCATGCTGCTGACACGCAGATCTGGTGGGCGTCGGGCTGGAGGCAGGACTTTACGGAAGAGGACAAGAAGGTTACCAAGGACTTCATCGAGCCATTTGGGCAGTTTCTGTACGGTAAGAGCGTCGACTGGGGGCATACAGAATCAGGCGAGGATCATTTGCTGTGGTTAGACCCTAACGGCAGGGTACATCAGGACTATAAGGATGTTTTATGGCAACGGGGGTTGGAAGTGTGGAACGCTATTTGGCTGGCACAGAAAGATTTGGTTGCTCACGAACATTAAGCAGAGGCGGCCCAACTGGCATGTAAATTCTCCGCACCTCTAAGTTCTAAGTGCTTGACCAAAGGAAACTGCTCTATATCATCACGCTATGCACCATGGTAATATATTTCAACGGACTGCGTGATTTTATGCTATTATGTTACATCATCCTATTTGCGTATATCTAGGAAGATGATTATTCATTAAAAACTAAAGTGTATCCCGCCACTTCCTGTTGTCTGCGCTTTGGCCACATTAGTCTACCGATATCAGCTCCAAGAAACGGGCCATGACTGCCGAACTTTCAGGCTTGGTGCATTACTGTCATTGAAAAGGGCACGTTTCCCCCGCTCGCGGTTGGGAGCCCCTGTCAAGCTTGATATTGTCTGTTAATTAGCCCAACTGATCAGTTTCCTGTTAGTGGAAGCTGCGTTTACCTTCGTGAAAATGCATCCCAACTATTTGGAAGCATCAAAGGCCTTCTGCCACTGGGAGAGGTAGTTCGCAGAATCTCTCCCCTTGGTCGTGAGACCTTGTGACACCTTTTCAAAGTTTTGATCCTTTGCAAGATAGTGCCCTAGATTGGACTTTGACGAAACACCGTTGAGATTTTGTTGCGTGAGTGGGGTGGTCGTCGTTTTATCCCTGTAAAACTATGTTAAATTACGGCATCGACTAAACTAATAATCGAGAATCTAACCTGTTGAAGTTCATATTGTGTATAGGAGAAGAGGAATTATGAGTTGATGGGTTAAGAGAATGTCACAAAGTAGGATTATCCTTGACTAGCCTGACTGATTTCTCTTATAGTCTAGAAAGATAGTTTTTGATAAGGACAGACTTCAAGGGAGGTAGCTCCCTCATAGCTAAATATCATTTACTCCATGGTCATACAATTCAATCGTCACATGTGATTACAACACAGGTGGGATTAGTAATTTTCAAGATACCTGAAACTTGTTGTTGAAGACTCATATCTGTGTCAGGGAATGAGACTAGGGAAAGTCATCAGGAACTAGGTGAGGCGAGTCTGGCTTTGCCTTCATCGCACCAGACTTGTGCCCTGAATCCCTGGGACAAAGAGCATATGTGATTTTGAACCTCCTTCCGAAGAATACGTAGTAGTGTGCGAGGTGAGCCTCTGCTACGATCGATGAAACATGTTCCCTAATACACACATTTGCCAGCTCTATATCGCATGAACGCCTGATGGATGGAGAAAAGGGAAGGCAGTTGGTCTCAGATTATGCGAACCGACCTCCGTCATCCTGGGCGACAGAATACTGGATTAAGTCGTATAGCATGTGCCAGAGTAGCCGTAAGTGATGTAGTAGTTCTTCCTTAGACTAGATACTACGTTATGATATTTGGCCCTTTCTTTTGGTCATGCCGAACAGTCTCCCTACGATCCTGGCTCTACCTATGTTTAGAATACTTTCTCTAGTCATCGCCATGATTCCAATCAACGTAGAACGTATCAATCTGCTACAATGTTCAGTCACAGGGAAAGTGGTGGGCTAAGTTTGTAATTAAACTTTTTTTTTCTTATTCATTGAGTCTGACTCTGCGGAAATCCTATCTTCTTTCTTCCATAGATCCGTGAATTCCGTGAAGACGCCTCAGAGACAGCCTGTACACCGTCTCGACGGCCCCTCCTGCGAGTCCTCGGTTGTCTCACCAACTTCAACTGTCTGTCCTTCACATTAGTTGAAAGGCCCTCATTAACATTAGGTAACGGCGCGAGGAGCCCGTTAGTTACCTGCAGCGAAGAGAATTCACTCCCGGCAACCCGCAAACTCGAACAGTAGCCCTTCATGTGCACATTCAGGTTATCTTTGCGTGTAAATGATTTCTTGCAGCCGGGGCAGGGAAACTTGTTGTCGGCATGTGTCTCCAGATGTTTCTTGAAGTAGGTAGGATAACTGCCGGTCTTCTCCCCCGTGGTTACATAGTCACAATGAGGACACTTGAAGATTTGGACGTCCGGCTGAGCGGGGGTGATGGGGGATTCTAGGCTCGTGTTGAACTGGTGAGCTCTTCGAGAAATTGGGGTGAATGGCGAGAGGGTGGTTGCTGAGGACGGATGAGATGATGAAGATTGAGATGACGAAGATTGAGATGCCGACCACGGCGAGGACAATAACGTCGACTTTGCCGAGGGTGGCACGGGCCAAGGATTACCCGAGAGTTGGTTCACCTGAATAGAGATGTGCGGCCGTTGGGGCATCTTGTTGCCGACTGATGGCTGAGAGCTGACATTAGGGAGGGGGTTGCTGGGCGCTGAGGAGTCTTCCGAGCCAGTCTGGTGGTTACTTTCCATCGATCCGGTGTTTAGCAAGAGAGTATGTGGCAATTGCTTTGTGCTGAACTCCGTGGGAAATTCTGACACTGCGTTTTGATACATGAAATTGACATCTGCTTGACCTTCTTGGGATCCAAAGTTCTGGGCAGGCATTTCTCTGCCGGCATCATGGTGAGAGAAGGGAGTCGTGAAGGAAGTTTCATCGAATGGATTGAATCCCAATATCTCATCTTCCATATCCAGATCTATGTTTGCAGTTGTATCATGTAGCAAGGGCTGGAATCCTGAAATTTCATGCTGTGTCGACTGATTGCAGGCATCCTGCTCCTGCCCAAATCCAATATTGGGCAACATCTGTGGCTGATGAACGGGATCAGGCAGCTCTTGCGGAACCAGCGAGTCGTCAAGCTCTGAAATTGGGTTCCCGCCCATTTCGCTAATCTGAGCGAGTAAGTCCGGGCTGTGAACCGGAGACGGTGATTGCATTTTTATCTGTCTTGGCGATTCGAAAATAGATTCCATCGTAGCCGACTTGCCGCTCATGCTGGAACTCGGGCTGACAGTGTTAACCCGGCTCTGCGGGCTGGAAATCCTCTGCACCTCCTCAGGCTCCGGAGATTGTGCAATTGGCGATCTCGAGCGCGTGAAGATTTTGGCAAATTTGCGTAGAGCCCTCTTTTGAGTCGAGAGGGATGATGAGGTCGGAAGTTCATGGGTTTCCAAGCAGTCGTACCTGCAGCACATGTTGCAGAAAACCTTCTGGCTATCAAAGTGCTTGCAGAAAGGCACGTGCCGCATCAAGAGTTTGGCAGTCGGGAAGTTTTCCTTGCAAATGACAAAGGGGCAGGCCCAGTTCGTGCGCTCGTTGTGCAGCTTGCCCTCGAAAGCAAGCAGCTCTATGGCCATGATTGCCACCATCCTGGTTTTCTCACTTGAAGAAAGTGATGATGCGATACTACCGAGTTCTCGCGATTAGCCATTTATTGTCCCAACGCACTTATTAGCGTGGAGTGGCGATGCAACTTACGGGCTGGATGGCTCTGACATGCCCAATCCTGCGTTGTTGGTCTGGATGCGAGGGGGGCTCTTTGGGCGAGGCTGATATGCTGAGCTCATCTGGCCCGCAGAGCACGACGATACGAAATCGTCAGAGGGTGGAGAGACGGTGTAGTAATCTGCTGAAGCCATTGTTGCGTAGCCTGGATCTGAGCTATTGGGGCATCCGTCAGCGTGAAGCCTGGGGGCGAAAACAGAAGATATCCAGCGTCCAGAAATGCACGGGCAGTGCATGCCGACTCGTCCCTTTTGTGAGAAAGTGTAGGGTTCATCTTGTCCTGCGCAGCCCAATCAGGGCGGCCCGATCTCTCGTCCCTGTTGTTGTGATTAATGCAGAATGGGCTTGGCAAACATGTTGATCTCGTTGTGCCCAAAGGAACTTCCCATCATCCCTGGCCCATGATAGCATCAGGAAAGCAGGGAATGGCGCCGTAGCGCGAGTTGAGACCTTTGGGATACCCAGGGAATCAGGGACGCAAAGGGAGGCGATATCCCAGAAACGACCTCTACCCCGACCACGGATCGGGAAAAGGGAAGCCAATTCAGGGTGGCGATACTTTCCCTGCCGCCCCCAGCGTCCAGTGAGTGGTGAATGATGGCCCGACACATGATCAGACATGCAGCACGCTTGTCGAAACCGGAGTGGTGAATGGGGCGGGATAATGCAAGGCAGGAGGACGCCTTCTCACCGTTGTGTGAGCGGCCCACCACCGAGACAGAAGCTGTGCGCACGAGGCGAGACTCGGAGACTTCGGGGCGTGTCGAAAAAGGAGGGGTCGAGTGCGCGAGAGAGATGCGAACGAGGGATATCTCGGGGTTGGTGGATAACCCCGCGTGCTGCCGCGCGTTGGCAGAACTCACGAAGGCGACATCGCGGGCCGAGTCCAGAGCTGCACTTTGTACGGCATCTTGGAGGGCGAGCACAACAGCCTGGACGTAGTTTTGGCCACAGGGACATGAAGGGGATGGGAGGTTGAGGCCCTTCCCACGCCATATATACGTTGATATTCACCTAGTCCTAGAGTGTTGGTCCTAAATATAGCCATCCGACCAACTTACATGTATGAATACCGAGCATGATATAATTAGCAACGAATGGCTTTGCCAAAATTAGCCTGCAGTGTGGTTTTTCTTGGTTCTTTTCTGGGACAGCATCAACACCCGAGTTCAGCACTTTCGCTTCAGCTCACCTGAGCACTTCTCCAGGGGGTATTGCAGGTGGGGTTCCAGCGAGTTACGCCGAATACACATCGGTGGTGTCATTGATACTGGATATTTTACACTTTGAGAATCATTGCGTGGCAAGGCATCCTCGAGGCTGTTTTGGATCGCATGGCTGTGCCAAATGCCTCATTTTCGACCATGCCTCTCATTTTACGAAGCTCAAGGTGGAAGGTAACCGTACCCGTACCCGAAGAACGATGCCATGAAAGTGCTAAAGTTCCCTGTATAAACCAAAGTCCCTGCCATACATGTACGCATCATTGGTGGAAAGCTAGTCAAGCTCTTCCAGCCCAAGGCACCCGCAAATTCGATTGCTTGGGTCCCATTTCCGCTTGATAGCCACCAATCTCTCGTATTGCTGACTTCCCCATAATCTGGCTGCACGAGCTTTGAAATCGTGTTCGCCAAGATATGCACCCGCTGCCTGGCGTTGCACTTGGTTCATTACGCCAGCCACCCATGCGCCATTTTCTACTTCGTCAGCCTCATTTTCCCATATTGCATAGAGGGCAAAGTAATGGTCTGATTGGACACTAAGGGCCATGTCAGTCAACGACCGTGTGCTCCGTGGTCTCATGGAAGACCATAATGCGAGCGACTGTCTCGTCGGTAGAGTGGTGAAAGCTGGCCGCAGCAGCTCAGCCACGTCCGTATCGTTGTTCAGAAACACATTGTCGACCTTGTAGCGTTGGCCGATAGGATATGCCTTGTATTTGCTCTCTAATTCGCGGTGGATGCTCGTTTCCTCGGAGAACGACCGGGATAATAGACCTGCAGGACGTGATTGATCTGCCTTTTGCAAGATGTCACCGACAGCATGTTCATCGTCGCCGAATGCAAGAAGTATGATGGTAAGGCATGCATCTTGAACCCCTTCTTTGTAGCTTCCAACAGCGGTTATTTCAACCAATTGGTCAACACTTGAGGCAATCTGACAGGTCAGCTCGGCCTTAACGCAGATATTTTGGAATACTGTAGTTTGAAGTACCTTTAATATCCAATTGAAGGCAGTCGTGTAGTGCTCTGCTGGATAGATATATACAGACGAGCGGGTAACTTTGGGGGCTTGCCGGGTTTGAAGATGAAATCTCGTCACAACTCCAGGGAACGCTGGCCCGCCACCTCTGGCAGCCCAGAACAGATCTGCGTTGTTACACACATCTGCCCTAATGAGCTCACCGCTCGCTGTCACCAAGTCAATTGCAACTATGCTTTCGCATGCCCAGCCCCAGTTCTTATTATTAGCTCGGATTAGACTGCTGTTTCAAAGTAGGGGAGAGGCGACGTAGCTCACGTTCGAGTTCCAACCCATCCCTCCGCCCAGAAGAAACCCGCCCAGAGCGACGTCAGGGCAGTGTCCGACAGAAAATGCCCGGGCTTTCGCTGATAGGTAGGCGTTCAGCTGTTCCCCTGTCACGCCTGGTGATGCGCGAACAATGCCACTCTCTTCATCGAGCTCCATTTCGACATATTGGCCGAGATCGAGGAGCAGAGCGTCGGATCGAAGACTCCACGCAGCATAGCTATGGCCACCGGCACGGACCGAAACACGGTGGTCTTTCTGAATGGCAGTGTTTATCGCATCGACAATGTCTTGCTCAGACTTCGCAAATGCAATAGCGACAGGATATCTTGGAGGGATGACGCCATTGAACAGTCTGCTTGTCCGCGCGGCCTCATAGACGTTTGGGTCGGCACTTTCCCGCCAAACGATGAGTGGCATAGTTATTCGAATTCATATGATATGGAAATTTGAATGATAGACTTCCCGTCCGCCTGAGAGAGGAATAAAATGATATCTGTAGAGAATGGCTGATGGGGCAAAAAAGAGGTAAAGCCACTCTCTAGCTTCTGCGGAGCCAAGTTCGGCGCCATGAAGTGTAAACAGCGCCTAAGATCTAGCTAGCGGCTCAACTGTACGACTCGAGGTGCCAACTGACGTGATGAGGTATCACCTACCTTACTTACATACTTTCAATAATGCTTAGGCAGGCAGGTAGCGCAGTGGACAATCACCGTTAGAGAGCTGCCATCTACTTTAGAGATCTTAAGTACTCTCTGTCGGTTAACATTATAGTTATTTTAAAAAGACAATGCACAGTATTCATTGCCAGCGTAACAATCGTTATAAGTCGTCCGTTACTTGTTCATCTAGTTTTAAAAAGTGCCCACTACTGATTCGCTCTCCCAGTCGTACTCTTTACCAAAAGCCAAATTTGATCTAACAGATACGACATCTGATTACGGATGATTTGGAAAGAGTCAATAGGAAAATACAACCTGATTGTGTCTTCAATAAACAAATAATTCTTTCTCATTCGCAATACTGAATAAATATCGTCTTGAACATCCGCTCGTGATGTATTATGTATGGGTGTAGGGTAGTTGCCTCGAATGCCGGAGATTCTTGGACGGTAAAATGGACGGCAATTTGCGGACATATCAGCCCAGTCGTCCGTATGTGAATCCCGATGGAACGGAGCTATGTATTACCAAGTTTGGAATAGTGAGATCCGTTGCAGTCCCGCACTCGGCAAAGTAGCAAGTGCGAGGGTGGCTGCTGATGGTGTTTTCGGTCTTGTCTAATGGCCGAATCACAGCCAAGTGCCCCCATTTTCGGTCAAGCAGTCGATGAACCACTATCGCCGGCCGAGACCGGATTACCAATCATCACCTGGTAGAGCGAGCTTCAGTTCAGTCCGTAGTTAATAAGGTTTATGATAACCTATGTATGGATGATGATTACATGTACATGGCGGGTTTGATTTCGCCGCGATTCTCCATTACAGAGTAATCCGGCGAGTGATTGGTATATTAAAGAAGACAATTCTCGTCTAATCTAGCCATCAGCAGGCGGATTTCGATATCATCCCATCCATCTACACCACTCTCATCAGCCCACCTGCTCTGCTAACTGCCGACCATCTTCGGCACTTATAAAATATACCACATACTGCCGTCACTCAATTCGATTAAATTTGTAACAATTGGCACGATGGCACCCATCACAAAAGTCAAGCAATCAAACACTGAGAGTCTTCCTGCCTTCATCCCTGATGAAATGGTTGCTGTCTTCATCGGTGCAACCTCCGGAATTGGTGAAGCTACACTCAAACAATTCGTTATCGCAGCGAAGGGCAAGTCTCCGCGTGTTTATGTCGTCGGTCGCAGTGCACTAAAATCGGCCCCTTTACTCGAAGAGCTTCAGCGCACCGATCCCGCCGCCAGGATTGAGTTCATTGAGAAAGATGGCTCCCTCCTTCAGGATATCGAAGCAGCGACATCACTTATTAGAAAGAGTGAGACTAAAGTGGACTTGCTGTTCATCTCCATCGGCTTCATCTCCTTTGAAGGGAGAATTGGTATGTGACTTGGCCTTTGCAAGAAGGATGGAAGAATTCCCTTTATCAATCATAACAGACGAATCACTAACATATGTACTCTCTCCAGAAACATCCGAAGGTCTGGAGCCTTCAATGACAACCCGCTTCTACAGCCGCGCCCTAGCCATTCAACAACTACTCCCCCTCCTGAGCAACTCTGAAAACCCACACGTTAGCAATGTTTTGGCTGGCGGAATGGAGTCATCGATTGACTTGGACGACCTTGACCTTGCAAAGCCCGGCAACTACTCCATCGTCAAAGCAGCCGTCCACTCGGCCACCATGCTCACATTAATGCTGGAGAAATGGGCCCAGGAGAACCCAAAGATCAGCTTCGTCCACTCCCACCCCGGCATTGTCCGCACCCCAATCCTATCCCGCGCTTCTAGGGGAATCTCCGGCATTCTCCTCCGAAACTTTGTATCACCTCTTGTGAATACATTCTTTGCAACATCCGCAGATGATTCTGGCGCTCGATCCATCTTCCAAGCGACTAATGCTCGGTACACCGTGGACGCTAACAGGTCGCTTTCGCCACCTATCCCTGAGGGCCTGAGCAAGGCTACCATGACACCTGGTGGTGTATTTTTGGTTAATCAGAACAGCGAGATAACTGACAACGAGAAGGTACTGAAGGAGTTGAGGATATCCTCTGCCAGCTTGGTGGCCAGTCATTTCGAAAACATTGTCGCTAGGACACTCTAATGCAAGAAGGAGGATGAATAATGCTGGGTATGTTTTCGAGGGCAAGGAGTTTGTTTTTAGTTTTCTATCAATCCAAGTATAATATCTAACAATGGTCACAATTTCCTTTGTTTTATAGTTCATTGAGGCCCTCTGCTTTTCAATGTCCCGTACTACTTAGTTTATGGTGATGTAATTGAGTTAATATAATCGGTGAAACTTAACCTAGGCACTGTTAGTAGATTTATCCCATCTTGGATTTCAAGATCGATATATGCGCCGCTAGGACCAAATCAAATATCCGAAATCGCGAGACTGCTATCGCCCTACGGGGCTTGAGACGGACGATAGGAAATCTACATCTCATAGCGAGATGACTCTGTGCCTGGCGTAGGCCATTGTTGCGAGTAGGCCATTGCTGGAAGCTCAAAACTAAGGCCTTCTCCTTTCTTCTCCGCCATCAACTCTGGGGCCCCGGCCTTCGAGCCTTTGGGAGTTCAGCCTTTTGGCCGCTTGCCCTTGAATCTGCACCCAGAGGACTAGAAGATTGCGCAAAAGCAGCCGCAGCCTTAGCGGCTTACTCGAACAACAAATGCGGCGCGTTAGGCTCCAAAACCCTACACTCAGCTCATGAGACACTCAATGGCAGTAACAAGTGAGCTTTGCCTCCTTTCACTAGCTTGTGTATTGGTAGTCTGTAACCAATGGCGAAAAATAGTAAGCATAGCTTTCGTCTATCTTGCATCTTAATTCATTATCTATATGTCATGCTATTAAGTACGTGCTGAGGTTGGAAGAAGGAAGCGGCGTGAACATGGCCCCGTGGGGGGCATCTACAGCCCCGATCATCGCCATGCTTATCATATTCCATGCTGACCATTTCCCCTTGTCTAGGACTAGCCGTACCACCCTGTTTTGTCGCCTGCCCCCGCTTCGGTAACCGATAACCTTGAAGACACTCAAAAAGTTGTCCAACCGTTTGCTAGGAACATGGCGCAAAACCCTCCTAGGGATGTCGAATTATTGACCAAGGGTTAGACTCCGCGGAAATACCACCCACGTTTTGGGTCCATGCTTGAGCACTATAACACTACCGCTAGTCTTCCCTTACCCAAAGTAGATCGTACCGGAAATGAGGAGTCGCCTTTATTAATAAGGTGCTGAAGTGAGAAAGCTAAAAATGTGTTAAAATGTGGATGAATTCCATTTAATCAAGTTTATTGTGTGAGGCGTAAGCGGCCAGTAGCCCCAACCATACCACCTTAAATAAGGCTGAAAGAGCCAGGCAGCTTGTGATCTCGAACTAAACTCGCGCAATAAACGCTTCTATTAGCGTGAGAATATGAATGACTTTTTCATTCGTTTTCAACCTGAATAGGAGTCGGATGAAGCCGGCCAGCTCTCAGTGCTCATGGCATCCTCCGCTGGGCAGGGTGTGTTCAAGGGAGACTAAGGTGATAACTAATTACAGCCTCTTTATGGCGGTGTTTGTATTGGCACGGTCATGTCTACTCCGCTCATGTCAGTTTGATTCTGTGTTACGGAGAAAATAGCCTAGACGACAAGATGCAAAGTAGCGGGCGTCTCAGAAAGCAACGAACCCTCGGCATGAATATGATGGATACTACAGCCTTATGCCAAGTTGTTTAGCATCGGGAAGGGGCCGCTTCATCGAACGGCCGGAAAAGGCCCGACACGCCTTTTAATTGAAAGTTACGCGGTTGTGGCTCCGGGTAACGAGACGAGCTCAAGCCGCCATCTCCGCAATTGTGTCATTCGAAGCATAGAAGCGAGATGGAAGAGTTTTTGGCGGGTGGCGAGCAGTTGGACACCCTTTCATCACTGCAATACAGACCCATAGCGTCATATTCCCTCCAAACCTCGCCAATTATGAAGCCATAACCGTTCATAACCCCTGTCTGCTATGATGGAGAGGTGGGTCGGTATCGGTTTCTCTTACATGGCGTAAAGCACGACATTTGGCTTAGCGATGGCTTCATCAGTGACACGACACGGGGCTCCATTCTTTCGGCCAAGGGAACTAAAACGGAATCAAAAATGCAACAAGTCCAGGGGGCTCGATATCGTTCACGTAATTTTTCTTCTAGTTCTTAAAGCTAGCTGCTAGGTTTTTTCAGTTGCTAATAGAGCGCATATTATTGACCTCGCGTCGGCGCAACTGGGCCCCCCTTATGGATCAGCTTGTTCACGCGAAAGGAATGAACCAACGCCTGAGTTTGCATTCGTTGATCACTGCTATAAATATTGAGAATCCCTCTTCTATCGCGTTGCATTGCTTTCCCACTTTTTCACCTTCCTAATCCAACTTCATCGTGGACGACAAACCAAAATCGACAGAGAACATCGACGAACGCGAAGGACGCCATCAATGGCGACAAACAAGGAGATAGACGTCCCTTCAGTGGGGGAACAATCTAGTTCCCCCTCTGAGCATGGTAGCGTCAAATCCCCAGGCAAGACGGAAACCAACGTTATTGAAACATCACCGCGGTCTACAGCTCCTCCGCTCTCGACGACCGAGCCCAAGCGGATGGAACTGGGAGATATTGTCCTACGGTTCTTGGGAATTCGAAAAGGTCCTCGACACGAGAAATACAATCCCGATGCTGTAGGATAATACTCAATTTTCTTTTGGCGTGCCCCGGGAGCCTAGCTTATGTTGTACCTAGATTGCCACTCAGCCAAGTATCTGGGATTCCGAAAAGATTGAAGAACTCAAGGAGCTATACATTCACCCAAAATGGGAGAATTGGCCGGCGTTCGACCCAAACTTCCGCTGGACGTGGAAGGAGGAGACCGCAGTCCGGCACAAGGTTGATTGGAAGATCATGGTAAGTTTTATGGCTGTCGTTCATTCACTCGCAGCCCTGTAGAAGATAGCTAACCGCAACCACTAGGTCTGGGCCTGCGTCATGTTCACGGCCCTCAACATTGACCGAGGCAACATCAAGAACGCCGTATCTGATAACATGCTGGACGATCTAGGCCTCACCAAGGCAGATTATGTTCGTTGACATTTCTCCATTTCCTACTCCTAATTTTGTGACCGGGGGTTAATAATTCTGGTTGCAGAATCTTGGACAAACTATTTCTCGAGTTGGGTTTCTGGTTGCCGAGCTCCCCTCTCAGTTGATATCGAAACGGTACAGCTTTTCTCTTTCTAGATGACGATGTCAAGACAGCTAACAGCTACTAGTATCGGGCCAGACATGTGGATTCCCATCCAGATTTGCATCTTCAGTCTCATTTCTGCTCTGCAATTCTTCCTCAAAGGCAGAGCATCCTTCCTCGCTACAAGATATTTGATGCAAGTCGCCTTACAAATCCCTAACTCAAGCTTTGCTAATCAGTCTCAGTGCCACATTTCAAGGAGGCTTCATCCCGGATACAATCTTATATCTTAGTTACTGGTATACAGGGACCGCAGTAAGAAGCACCATGCTCCTGACTCATAAAGGACGGGGCCACTAACGTGAGATAACAGCTCCCCATTCGACTAGCTTGGTTTTGGATGTCCTCACAAATTGGTAAGCATCGAGACGTTTTTGCAACCTGTTACATCTCTAGCTGACATTGAATAGCGGATATCTGTGTTGGGTTTGCCGCCGTCGGTCTGGTCTCTATGCGTGGCATACTCGGCTACGAAGGATGGCGATGGTTGTTTTTGATTGAGTAGGTGTCTCATCCCGCACATAATACATGGCTATTACTAATAAACAACAATAGGGGCGCATTTACCTGTAAGAATCCCGACATATTACAACTCGTATTCACCATATTAACCTGTCTCTAGTCCTGATTGGTGTTCTTTCCTTCTTCCTCATGCCTCAATGTCCCACTAGGACCAAAAGTTGGTGGAATCCGAAAGGATATTTTACTGAAAAGGAACAGAAAATTATTGTCAATTCTGGTGAGTTAGAGCTCGCAAGTGGGAATTGACTTAACATCTAACCATGGCCCAGTTATTCGAGATGATCCTCAGAAAGGAGGAATGTACAACAGACAAGGTCTATCCGTCAGGCAGATTTGGGAATGTGCCAAAGACTACGACATGTGGCCCTTGTATGTTCTGGGTTTGCTGTTCGGGCTGCCCAAGTACCCCGTGGACCAGTACCTCACCCTGTCCTTCCGCAGTTTGGGCTTCAACGTCATTCACACCAACTTGCTCTCGATTCCATACATTGTCGGATCCAGCATCACGATGCTGCTCATCACGGCTCTCAGTGAGCTTGTCAACAACAGAAGTTTTGTGGCGATGGCGGAGGATGCATGGCTCTTGCCGTGCTTTATAGCTTTGATCGCTCTTCCGGATCCTATCAGTGCCTGGGCCTATTTTGCCATTTCGACCGTTCTCCTGTCGTTCCCATAGTAGGTTTCAGCATGTCAAATCTGCCTAGGTGTACTCAGCTCACAATCGTCCCAGCACGCACCCGATTCAAGTTGCATGGACAAGCAGAAACGCCGGATCTGTACAAAATAGAACGGTTTCCGCTTCGTAAGATATCAGCTCCCAGACTGCCTTTTTTATTCGTGTTACTGACTATACCACCAGGTTGTATAACATGTGGGTTCAAGTTAGTGGAATGATCGGTGCAAACAGTAAGTTGGTTTCTCCCATAATCTTGTCTGCCCGGTGACTTATATTTTATACCACAGTCTATCAATCGAGCGACTCTCCGCGATACTACAAGGCTAACAAAGGCCTGTTGGTGATTTGCATCTACCTCTGTGTAAGTTCCGGGATTTCGAGATCATGAAATTCCCCCCTTTATATTTGTACAAAAGCTTACTTCAGGTTTGTAGTTCGTACAATACCCGGGCACATATTTCTACTACCGCTGGAGAAACAATCAAAAGGCGAAGAAGTGGGATGCGATGACTCCGGATGAGCAACATGAGTACAGAGCTACCACGACGGATGTGGGAAACAAGAGGTATGTTCTATCTTTGCATCTATTGGTGGATGGATAGCTTATGATTAACCTGGATAGGCTCGACTTTCGATTTGCAACCTAATCTTGCCGCTCTTGCCGAATTATGGATCCCGAGGAAGTGTGAACAGAACTTGAACATTACAAGCGCCCCACACGGAAATTGGCACACAGTTATCGATGAATTTTGAATTGGGAGGTTTTCTGAACGGAGCGGGGTTTGGTGAAGTTGTTGGATTTGGAAAGGAGGCCGCGTTGCAGCACAATCCATCCAACCTACGTGGACGAGGCTAAATGAAGCGGTAACAATGAAGTGCAATTAGGCACTTTAGTGATGAAATGTGTTGATGAAGCACATGTGGAATCAATAATACATAGCATGTGATTCCTTGACGCGTGTTTCCCACCACGATGGTAACGTGGGCGGATTCCACTAGTTGATATTGATTCCAACCCCTCTCTTAAATCAAATATCACCACCTGACATATATGTTCCGTCCAATTTCATCCGGATGAACGGTCCGAAAATGCTTCTTTGCCAAATGCGGTATCGGATTCATGCCTGTGCTCCGTGTACCGCTTCTATTTAGCCACCATCTTGACGGTTGGTGGTTGGATGCAACTTAAAAAATCAGGCTAAAAACACTGGGCAGACGGAGATTCATCAACCAAACAAGAATTGAACGAATATAATCAGGTATTTGGAAAATATATATTATGTCCACTGCGGCGGGATACAGCGTAGTAAAATAACAAGTTTTGGCTGTGGGTTTGACAAATCTATCATTCGACCGGTGTTAATCTGTGACAATGTCGTTAATCTCGCTCTTATGCGTGTTCTTTGCGCTTCTAAGCCCTTCATGGGCAGGCACATACTCGCAGGTGACAAGCTTTGGAGATAACTCATCTGGAACAAAGATGTACATTTATGTACCAACCACACTTGCAAGCAAACCAGCCATCCTTGTTGCTGTACATTACTGCTCGGGAACGGCTCAAGCCTACTACTCCAACACGCCATACGCTCAGTATGCGGACACATATGGATTCATCGTCATCTACCCCGAGTCTCCGTACAGTGGCACATGCTGGGATGTGTCTTCAAAAGCCGCACTCACTCACGAAGGGGGAGCAGACACGACGTCGATTGCTAACATGGTCAAGTACACGATCTCAAAATATGGAGCTGATTCGAGCCGGGTGTATGTCACTGGCACCTCTTCCGGGGCAATGATGACGGTAAGACAACGCTAGAGGAATTCTCACATTACACGAAGCAATGAGTACTAACTTGCCGTGCAGAATGTACTGGCCGCAACATACCCCGACATCTTTGCTGCGGGCATCGTTTATTCCGGAGTCCCCGCCGGATGCTTCTACACTGGCACCGTCAACGGGTGGAACTCGACTTGTTCGCAAGGAAATGTCGTTCAGGCCGCTGCGCAGTGGGCCAAAGTTGCGACCGACATGTACCCCGGATACACTGGACCTCGACCTAAGATGCAGATCTACCACGGGTCGGTTGACAGTACCTTGTATCCAAACAACTGGAATGAGACGATGAAGCAATGGAGTGGTGTGTTTGGGTACTCTGGGCCGACAGAAGTTCTTTACAACAACCCAAGCAGCCCATATGTGAAGTATGTTTATGGTTCAAATTTGGAAGGGATTTACGGCGTTGGCATCGGCCACAGCGTCCCCGTCATGGGTGCGGAGGATCTCAAGTGGTTTGGATTTGCAGTGCGTCCAGAAGACTTCTCTCATGAACTATTCAGGATGAGCGTCTAACAATTCGCAGGGCGGCTCTACACCGACATCAACAATGCAAACCAACATTCCTACAAGCACTACAACCAGTGCGACGGCAACGGCGACGGGGTGAGACATCCGGTCTTGAATCACTCCGTATTCCCTTTAACCAAACATCTAACCTTCTGCAGTGGTCAAGCACCTCATTGGGGCCAATGCGGAGGCTCTGGGTGGACTGGGCCGACGACGGTGAGTGTCCCTTCATGTTATCGCAATAGAATACTTGCTAACCTTCTGGGCCGAAGTGTGTGAGCCCCTACACCTGTACGTATGTGAATGCTTGTAGGTTCATTTTGCTTTCGATTACTTGTCAGATAGAGAACATCCATGCTAACAACTTTAGGGTATTCGCAATGTTTATAAGGGATGTCAAATTACCTAGCATAAGCAACTGAAGAGAGCTTCTTTAACTTCATCGCTGGTAATCAAACAATTCAGCTAATCCAAGCAGAAAGAACTGTTTTCGTGCAGTGCATGAGATTGTTTACTACGACCGATTGCTCTATCAAGTGGAGGGGCTTATAGTCCGTTCAAAAGATATACTATGATATCTGGGAGATGGATGGGTCCTAGTTCGGTATGCGCTTGAACCTGGCTGTGGTTTATGGACTGGCTGATGGGGGTAGGCGAAATTGCGAGCTCCTTTATATCTCAACTCTCAACCTAGGTGACTGAAATACCGCAGCGTGATCTTGGAGATGTTCCGAAAGATGCCCATGTTCGTATTATATGGCATCGAAGTGGGATCGATTGCTCACTTGACCACAAAGCCGGCGCACGGTGCCGCAAGAGAGAGGTATTAATAGAAGCGGGCCATGACCTCTCAAAACATCAAACAGAGTCTCTGGATCTGCCGAAATCCTTTGCGTGAGGTAGGATGACTTTGAAGTGAAGATATTTGGTCTGGGTTAAACTCTGGTAGATGGGCAATTGAGTTGCCATGTCGCTGCTTGAGGCCTTTGCTTCTTACCTTACCTAACTTGTAGTTTTTACCAAGTCCAAGTGATGAGATGAGAACTTGGTTTGCGTTGAGGAGCTTTGGTTCGGCTACGTACTATTTAATTTCATCCGAAGGTTCGACCTGCTCCTTAATGACAATATATCATAAGTAATCTTCTCGACATTTGTTGCATTTATGCATGCTCGCCCGTTTAAGTAAACCTCTCTTGCTCTCAAGATTCACTTTCCCTCTTTGCTTCTTCTTCGATACTTAGACCTCCCGCTTTTTAATTCAATAATCGCAACGAGGGAGAATGTTAATGAAAGCGATCAGTCACCAAGGAATCAACAGGTTTCCGTCTCTGGATGGGAGCCGTCGCATGTGCTCGATGCCTCTACACTAAACATGTTGATGTATACGCACAGTTCCACAGATCAAAACGTGATAGGCACTCAATTCCCAAGATATCTGGGCAAAAAATGATAGTGTTCAAGCTACATTGTGGTTCTAATTACTAGTCCTCGCATCCCCGGTCAACTCCCAATTCTCCAAATTGCCACAAACCCCAGACTAATTCACCGAATGCAGCGCCGAAAATATCTGATATGTGTCTGCCCGGCAGCCCCGAGCTTCAGACTGTCCTCAAACGTCTGCACAATGCTGGCTCAAGACGAACGCTTCGTGGTTTTCGATCCTGGACGGCGCCCGATCCTCCGCTTTGGCGCTCTCATCGGTGTCTGGACACTTTCAGGCTCCATTACAGACTGTGGCGTGGACTTTGGCGAGGACTTGTCAGGTGTCGGCACAGTGGGCAGTTCACTCCCTCGCTGATTCTTTCCGCCGAGAGCGACTTCGGCCTGTTCCACCGCCTCAATGTTCTCGTGTGACCGGAGTCTTTTCGATCGGCGGATTTGGTGGTTCGGTTCAGAACTGTCGGGTACTGCAACATGCGTAGACTTTCTCTTCTTCATATTGAAGATTGGATGAAGCTTGACGTTGCTGGTGGGCGGCGTCGAGGCTGTGGAGGTCATGGAGTTGTCACACTCGATAACAGACCTAACATCGTCGGCAGGACTGGAGGTCCGAGTCCTGGCATTGGCGATAGCCTTAGAAATCGTCGCCTTGGGTTTACAGGACTTCTTAGGCTTCTTAAACTTCATAGCATCGCCTAGCCCGTTAGCAATTGCCCATCCTGGGGGACCGATACTTTCACAACGCCGGATCATAGTCTGCACTTCCGGGTTGGGGCAGTCTCTGGACCAAGCTACGTGGGCTCCGCTGCAATGGGGGCATTTAATGGGACCTAGTCGGTCACATTCTCGGTGGGCGTGGTCCTTGGAGCAGTAGCCACACTTCTTTGCTCTTTTGCAAGTGGATGCCATATGCGACGGCTGGGCGCATCGGAAGCAATATAGGGGAGCCTGCCTCATGTCATATGGTCTGGTTGAATGTTAGAAAGTTTTTCGTTCTTTATGATCTTGTATCTTTGCCTCTCGCCGTGCGGTGTATGCGCGTTGAAAACAGTGTAACTTACTTTACTTCATATCGTTGGCCGTCAAGAGTAATAAAGCCATCTCTGCAAAATCGAACAGCATCATCAATAGAGTTGAATTTGCAGATAACCCGATTTCCAACGCGCCTTGTTGATATTATAACCGTGTGATTATCTTTGCTCCACCTCCGATATTGCTCTTCACTTCCGACGTTGACTGTAAGGGCAACCCCATATATAGCGATATGGTAATCCTTGGGTATTTCTTCAGTAAGGGGAGAGATTCCCAAGGCACTGCAGGATTGCTCGAGATCCTCTCGTATCTCGCGGAGTGCACATTCTGAACGAACGGTAATCTCCGCCAGGTTGCCCCTCAATGCGATTCTGCAGATTTGGTCGTAGGGATACCCAGCCTTTGTCAATCGACTAAGGTCATCTCCGAGGGATTGGAGACGAATCCGATCTGGGCTCAATTTGACATCGAGTTGAAATGAGATACGATCTTGCTTAATAGTGACCGATTCCCTGGATGGGGTTTCAGAGACGGTGGATGGGTTCTCCGAGACGGTGGATGGGTTCTCCAAGACGGTGGATGGGTTCTCCGAGACGGTGGATGGGTTCTCCGAGACGGTGGATGGGTTTTCCGAGACCGTGGATGGGTTTTCCGAGGTGGTGGTAGTGTATTGAGATGCCACCCCGAGCCCGCCTTGGCCAAGACCGACGGTGAACTTAGCGGGGAGTTTCCCCCTAAACCCACCGACGAGACGCCTAAGCTGGGGGATCTTGGAGAAGATGGATGAGGACATGGTTCTGTTGGTATGCGAAGTAAAGACTTGGGATAATTTAGAAAGGGTAAAAGAGTTAAAGGTGATGTGCTGGAGTTCAAGGCGATGTGCTGGAGTTCAAGGCGATGTGCTGGAGTTCAATGTAGATGATGAGGTGACAATCGACGTATTTGTAGCTCAATGAGCTTAGATCCTCTCCTCCTCAATATCTTCCGCTCAAACGAAACACGTGTAGGATTCTTGTTGTTGATTTACTTCCGAGCTGAGCTTTTTGGCCAATGAATGATTAGGAACGCGTCAAGAGTGCGTGGCGGTGGAAACTAGTGATGCGGGCCGAGACCTCAGGACAGGCTATCCACTTGTCTCAGCAAGCCGTATGTCCAATTAGCTTGGAGCAGAATCTTCCCGCAGTTGCTTTAGCATATCTGGGGCGAGCACACAGTGTTCATTTCTCCGTAGTTGACGGCCAGCTCACAGGGATCGCTCGAGTCTGTGCAAGTGGACACACGAATCAAGCTGAGGACCCTGAAACATGATTGCTTGTTCCCCAACCTTTTTTGGGACCGTTCATTGGACGGATGGAAAGAACCACATGATAACGCAATGAAACTTGCGCCACCGAGGTGGCATTGGCAAAAGCAAAACTGACAAGCGCCCTCGTAACTGGCAGCCGCCGAGCGAGATGTTTTACCTGTATCGCCACCAGCTGAACTTTTACTTCTATAATCTCTCGTCTTGTACCTTGTAAAAGCGCTATCCTTATGAAACCTGATAAGTCTAGATTCTATTGACTAGCGGCGGCCGAACGAAATATTTCACCTATACCGGAGGAGCTCACTTGAACGTTAAATAAAGAAGATATTAGACCTAATAAACTTAATATAATAAATACAAAAGGTTAATAAAGAAAGCTTTACTAGCTTAAGACTATAGTTATATAGTAGAAAATTCTCTTAATCTTTATACTAATAACTTACTTACTATTAGGATAAACTATATATTAAATAACTATTAAAGCTACTCTTATTACCCAGCTTTCTTTATTTATCTTCTATTATATTAATCTATATACTTTAATTAAATATTAGTCTTTTTAATAACTAATCTAGTAAGTACTAGTAACCCCTTAGCTAGAGTACTAATACTAATATACCTATAGCTATTACTATATCCTAATAGTTAGGATATAATATACCAGATAACCAGATCTTAGTATCTTCTCTTAAAGGTAATAAGATTACCTAGTCTAATATAATAAAGCCTAAGGTTAATATTAGTAATCTAAAGCTTACTAGTTTTACTAAGGCTATTAAGATTAGTAAACTCGATTAACCTAATCTTAATAGTCTCTCTATAGAGCAGGTTAAGGCTTTATTTAACTTTAGCTAAGATATCCTTAGGTATATATCCGAGGATAAGCTTAATATAAAGGTTATCTTAGTAATAAGAAGTAAGGGGCTAGTATAGTACTAATTTCTTATATATAAGGCTAGATCTTTCCAGAAGAATACTATTAATAAGAAGAGTAAATAAGGTAGTAAGAAGGAAGGAGAAGATATAAGGAAAGCAGGGTTTAGGAGAGGTTAGCCTTAATAAAAAAGCTTCTTAACCTTTACACAGTGAGATATGTTTCACCTATATCGCTCCTAGCTGTGAAACTGAAAGTCTAGATTCTATTGACTAGCGGCGGCCGAACGAAATGTTTTACCTCTATCGCCACCAGCTGAGCTTTTCTTTCTCTAACTCTCGTTCTATAGCTTGTATGTTAAAATATTATCCTTATGAAACTGAGAAGTCTAGATTCTATCCATTAGCGGCCGCCGAACGAAATGTTTTACCTATATCGCCACCAGCTGAGCTTTTCCTTCTCTAATATCTCGTCTTATAGCTTGTAAAAATATTATCCTTATGAAACTGATAAGTCTAGATTCTATCCATTCGCGGAAATGTTTTACATATATCGCCACCAGCTGAACTTTTACTTCTGTGATCTCTCGTCTCATGGCTGGCAAGAGCGCCATCATTGGGATTTTTACTTACTTTGGAATTCTTTCCCGAAGCGAATCACCGAGACCGATGTAGTTTGGGAGCACATCTCCGGAGAATATCCTCCGACGTCGAAGTTTATCTAAACCTACATGAGTTGTAAAGTCCCGCCGCCTGGTCATCTCATCTTTCTTCATTACGAATTATTTTACACCATCCTTTTCCTGCTTTGTCTGGGCAGAAGTCATTTCCCATTCATCTTTCTATTTCAGCTTTCCTACATACGGAGATAGTCTTATTCTGTTTCTCTACGTTCTCCTACCTAGAAGCTGCCCTTCTCCTTGTGGCACTTCCGTTTTGCCCTCCCAGACAACTCCTAGATCGCCGGTTTCACACATATTAAGGCCTACGGGCCAGATGCTGTGTCCTTTCCCCAAGAGGACAACTGAAATTCCCTCGGCATGCGTCTGATACGCCGGGAGCTACGGCAGTGGTGACCCCTGAAACCACGTAGCGATGGAAAGCAGCAGTGATGCACCCGCGTGGTTAGAGCGCATTCCTCATCACTCTCTCCGTATTGCGTCGGTCAACCTAAAGCGTTCTCGCCATCGATTAGAAGCGCTTCTGCGGTACATGAATGAACAGGATGAATCTTGGGATGTCGTTGCTATTCAAGACCTTCCCATCGAGTTTGCCTTCACGCCGAGCCCTGGCTATGATTTATTCTACTGGTCAAATCGTGAACTAGAAGAGAACGACAAGCCACCACCACCATGGGACTCCCAAAAGAAGCCCGATACGACCCAGGTTCAGGAGCCTAAGCCCGCGCGTATTAGCTCGGTGGGATTCTATATTGCGCAGTATATTTCATCCTTAAACTGGGCCGTAACCAGGCCACCACCCGATGATGCCAACACGGAGCTGGTCGCAACGCTTCATCTTACCACCCAAGATGCGATACTCGATATCCACAACATCTATAACCGGGACAACAAGCTTGACTTGGACGAACTGTTCATCTACGCTGCGGGGTCCGAGCATGTGATTTTCGTGGGCGATTTCAACATTGAGCATCCCGAATCGAACAAAAAAAGTCAAAAGTCGAAGTCTTTGGGACAGATGATGAAAGGCGCAAAGATGACGTGTTTGACACCTAGTGATAAGATCACTTACTCTCGCTCCCACCCAAGGGACGACGGTCTCTACTCTTCAACCATCGATCTCATCTTCGTCAGCAAGCCCCTTCTTGATCGTGCCCCTGGTAGAGAAGGAGCCTGCCGGGTATTGAATGTCAGAGGATTTGAGACTGATCATCGCGTCACCGAAACGACCATCAGCATCAAGCCCGTTGAGGCGGTTGGCGTCCAGTACCTTTGGAAACAAGTCAATCATGACAAGTTTAGAGAAGCTATGCGAAAAGCATTCGAAATTCTAGGATTCCCGCCCCTCGGGTTTAGGACGGAAGTCGACGCGTACACAGCAGCGGTGTTGAACGCCATGGGATCAGTTATCGAAAGCCAAGCACGGATCAGGCGACAGAACTCCCGCCGCCAGCACCAAGCTCCGCGGTCCCCTGAACTTGAGGAGCTGATGGAGAAAGAAGCTCAACTCTTTCGAGAGTATGATCAAAACGGAAGTCAACAGACCCTCACGGCTTGGGAAACCGTGAGACGTGACATCAGTAGACTACAGCAACGGATGAGCACGCAGCAGTACCGCCAAACAATGACAGACAACGCGGCCAAGACGAAAAACACGGTCCACAAAGATTTCCGCCAGTCCGCGCAACGGAGCCAGCCCCGCAAGCCACCCATAATACCCACTCTCGAAGTCGACGGTCGTCGAATTACGAAACCTAAGGAACAGGCAGACTGTCTCGTGAACAGCATTTGGCCCGATGTCCATCCTATTAAAAAGGGGCAACATCGAACACGGCGAGGGATACCCAAGCCAGTTCGACTGTCACCTAGTCTTGAACTGCAGTGCTTCCAACGCCTACGGGATGGAGAGCTCCGAGACATCATCAAGGGTCTCAATACTGGCCGATCCTCTCTCCCAGATGGCATAGGCAATGAGGCTATGATCATATGTATAGAAGAGTGTCTCCCGTACTTGGAGCATCTGTTCAATGCCTGCTTGGCCCTGAAATATCACCCAGTGCGTTTCAAGCACGCAATTACCATCATGCTACGCAAGCCCTCCAAGTCGAGTTATACCTCACCAAAGAGTTGGCGACCAGTGGCGTTACTGTCATGCGTGGGCAAGGTACTTGAAAAAATCATTGCGAATAAAATACGAGATTTGGCAATAGAGCACAACTTGGTGCCAAAATATCAATATGCGGCCCCGGGCCGAAGCACGACACACGCTCTCCAGTTTCTTGTCAATATCGTCTACCGCGGCTGGTCCTTCCCCCAGATATCTAGCCTGCCGCGATTTGTGCGGCGTAGGCTCGTTAGCCTCCTGGGCTTTGATATCACCGGGGCATACGACCGGATTCCTTGGGAACGGCTTCTCGAAGCGCTGTTGAGGAAGAGAATGCCCTACTGGATTGTGGAATTTTGTTGGTCCTTTCTCTCGGGCCGCACTACCAATCTACGGTTCCCCGGTCATGAGTCGGAGTGCTATGAGATCAATGTCGGCATCCCACAGGGGAGCCCGCTTTCTCCCATCCTCTTTCTCTTGTTTATCGCTGGGCTCCTCGAGTCAAATGAGGGGCTTGCAAATCCCTTCGGCCCTGGCGTGGAGTTCTACATCTTTGGGTACGCCGACGATCACTATATCGTCGCCATTTCCCCCGACTACGAGACCAATTGCGACGTGTTTCGGGTCGTGACTGATGTGATTATGGGATGGGCGAGAGAGAACGACGTCATCTTCAACCCAGCCAAGTATATTGTCATGCATTTTCGGGGGCGGCGCATCCGTGATGATCGTGCCTTCGAGCGGATACTCTGGGCAGAGGATGAGAAAGACCGCAAAGCATATGGCTCAGATCTTAAGAAAGACACGTCACGGATGTTGCTCAGCCCCGTGTCCCAAGCATTGCCTGCTATAGAGGGAGTAACATTGGAAGCTCTCGTCACGCAGACGAGGATCCTCGGTGTAATCGTCGACGACGAGCTCAACTGGGGCCCTCATATCAACACGCTGAAGACCAAGGTATACGCCAAAGTTGGCTATATGAAGCGTATCAGCGGGCCAACGTGGGGTAAGACATTATGGCAGATGAGGCAGCTCTATTTGACCTCAATACGCCCCATCATCTCCTACGGCTGCGGTGCATGGTTCTCTCCGCCGGGCGAGAACCGGATCAAGTGGCGGCTGACCAAGCATCGAATGGCTCAGCTTGAGACCTTGCAATACCGCTGCCTATTGGCCGTTTCGGGAGCCATGAACGGAACTTCGCGTGAAACGTTGCTTACTGAGTTGGGTATACCCAGTCTAGAAGTCTACCTCGGCCAACAGGCCAAGATGTACCGAACGCGAATGCTCGATACTCCCGAGTATAAAGAGCTCGAGCGGATTCGCATGAGATTCCCTCTTGGGAAGGTAAAGGCTGCATACAACAGGCATCCCTTCCATCTCCTATTCTGTGAGGCCAATGCCTTAAGGGGATTGGCAGAGGAGAACGAACTCACAAAATTAAAGGCCGAATTTATAAAATCGCAAGCCAAATCCACAAGATCGAAAGCCAAGCCAGAGGTCTTCTCTCCTAGCCAAAAACAGCTCCGGCAAGCGATCAAACGCTTCATCTCGAAGAACGCGGATGCCAGGTCCAGGACAGAGTGGAAAGCCTACATTGACGCGCACAAAAACGGCCTTCGTACCTACATGGACGGCTGGGTTGATCACCCAGGCTTCCAGTTAGTCAACCCGAAGTGGCATCACAACAACTTCAAGTTGTACAAAGACCTTCGGCGTGCCGAGAGCACGATGCTTCTGCATTGCCGCACCGGCTGCATCCAACTCCGCCATTATTTGCACTCCAAACGCGACATCACCAACCATGACGTCCCTAATTCGCAGTGTCCCTGCGGTACGGGCAAGCACACTGCGCTCCATTTATTCCTGGAGTGCCCAAACTTGCACGATGCACGGCAACGCCTGACGGCCGACTTGGGCCAGCATGATCTTTCAGAGACCCTTGGGATATTGCTGGGGAAACCAAAGGAAGCTGGAATCCTCGCGCGGTGGGCGATTCAGAATTTCGGGATTGAGCAATTCAAGTGCGTGCCCCCGCCAAACAAGAAGGGCAATACGAACTACAAACGGAAGCACCACAACGCGCACCACAACGCGCACCACAAGGAGGAGCACAGACGCAAGAAACTAAAGACATACCCTCAGTGATTGTTTGGGGATGGCTTGAAGTGGGGGATAGGCGGATCTCAAGACATATCGAAAGGAAAGTCTAACGTCTGTGGCTGTTGGGGACAGTCTGCAAATGTTTTGAACGAATGAAATCTTCCGGTCCTTTTCCCTCAAAGGTCTAGATTCAGGGGGGCACTTCTGCAGTTTTAACGGGAGGACCTATGTACTTATATAACTACTTAGTGAGATAAATACAGGCAATTCACTCAGGGGGGGGCTACGAGGACAAGTGTATGTGCGTACGTTCGTGTGTTTGAGAGAGACAGTGGGCTTGTATTTGGCTTGCCTAGCTATCTATCCCTCACCCTGTTTTCCTCCTCCCCTCCCCAGTTGTGTGTAAGTAAGTTTCTTTCATCATCTATTTGTCGCACCTTATCTTCTTATCCTTCTCTTGGTCATCGCTAATAATTAGGAGTTCTTCCAACCCGGGCAACCTCGGCAGCTGTCTTCACGGTGAGTAAGTTAAGTCCACTCTACACGATATCTTTCATCCTTCTAAACGAGACGCAGAAGCTGATATCTCAGCCTTCCAGGTATTTACTATCCTTCATTTAAGTCTATCCTCGGTACTAGGTTACTGATATTGGGCAAGCGAAGCAGCTAGAGGCAGCGGCGGTTGCGGTCGCCACTTTGCAGCGAACTGCACTTGGCCGTGAGGAAGGCCAACCAACGGCTGTATTTGTAAGTTATCTAAATATCTTAGAATAATATACCTTATTAATAGAAAAACAGTTCATTGGAGAGTATACTCTCGTCAAACTGCTCCTCAGTAAAGCAGTCAGTTTGATTGAGAAGGCAGCTTCCAAAGTTAAACAGACTGACTATCTGTTTAATACCAACGGTCTTAAGAGACCCAACCGCCTTGGCGGCACCTACGAGCTTATGATTGCTCGTACAAACTTTAGGAAGGCTTTTGACTTCCTGATCTGCTACCTGGGTACCTATTATAATAGGTGCAACAGCTGCAGGAGGCTTCCGGCTCTTCTTTGCCATTGTGTAGGTATGGAATATCCTAGGTTCTAATTACTGAAGATCTAAAGTAACTAATGCTTTTGTAGGTTTCTCCTTGAACTGAGTGAGTTAGTTATTATTGAGACTTGGATGAGATTGCTGATATATTTTTCTATCTAGGGTGTGCGTGTGTGTGTGTGTAAGTTCCTTTTGTCTTTGCGATAGGAAGCTAACCGCGCTGATGACTGCTCTCCAAGTTCAGAGTATGTCTTTTTCTTACCATTGCGTCAATATATACATTTCAGTTAACTAATCGTTGGAGTTTTATCAAGGACTTGAGTGTGCGTAAGTTCCTATCCGCCTCGAAAGTAAAGCTTAACGTACCTAATGATCAGCGGAGTGACGAAGGTAACGACGTGCGAGTAAGTTTTCTTCCTTTGCTTTACTAGCCATCGTTTGGATAGCTAATCATCAGAGTCCTGACAAGGAGTCGACCGAGTGAGTCTTTTACTGCTCCGAAGGCAAAGCTTGATGTAGCTAATCGTCAGTGGAGCGGCGAAGGTGGTGTTATGTGGGTGAGTTTTTTTGTATTGCTTCGAAGGTAAAGTTTAGCGTAGCTAATGATCAGTGGAGTAACGAAGGTGGCGACGGGTGAGTGAGTTTTTTTCTATCTTTTTCCTTTGTCTTTTCTACGTCAATTGTCAAAGTTTCGAAAGCTAATTATCAGACCTTCGATAGCACTTGACTTGTCTGTGAGTAGACTTTTCCACTGCTTCGAAGGCAAAGCTTGACGTAGCTGATGTTCAGTGGAGCAACGAAGGTGGCGATGGGTGAGTGAGTCTTCTTCTTATCTTTCTCTTGTCTACATCAATAATCAAATTTCGGATAGCTGATTACGAGAGCTTTGATAGCACTTTGAGTGTTTGAGAGTAAGTTTTCAATCATTCGAAGGTAAAGCTTGACGTAGCTGATGTTCAATGGAGCGACGAAGGCAGTGATTTGCGAGTGAGTTTCCACACCCCGACACCAAAACCAAATGAAGCTAACCGTTTGTGTGTGGCAAGAGATTGTCGATGTGAGTATCAAATGCCCCTCTAGATAAGTATAACCAGTGCTTATATCTAGACTGTCGCAAGTGCAGATGGACTTGAGCTGTGCAGTTCATTCAGGTGTGTTCTCAGCGGTACGCACCGTATCCTCTTGCCAAGGTATTACCAGGTACCTGGCAAACGCTCTCTCTAGGCCGTACGAGCCGAATTGCTAACTAATCAATCGTGAAAGGACCAGGCCAGCAACAGCAGCCTTTATAGATGAAAATCAGCATCTTAAGGTTCGCAAAAGGAGTCATGCCGGCGAAAGAGTCACTGCCGGGCACAGCCTTTGGTATTAATGAACTTTATGTACGATACGAGTACAGCTATTTTGGTGTTGAACCTTAGATACGGCCGGGCACAAGGCTCGTAGCCGCAAGGCTGAAGTTTATTGTGTTGTGATGCCTGGGTATGGTATCAAGTTATCAAATTACTGGTGTCTGGGAATTTCCCCTTTTTTTTTCAGCAGCTGTACAGCTCCCTCACTTACTATTGAATATGATACCCCTATATACGAGGAAAACCTTGGTTCGAAATCACCGCATGTGAGGAGAATGGTTGTGGCCGTTTAGGGTGTGGCCAACCGGGCAATCGTGGGCGGCAATAAAGTTCTGGGGGACTGAGTCACACCGGATGCGGCGTGTGACACAAAGCCAAGCGAGCAGGGCGGGATGAGCATTAATACAAGCCTTTCCCCCCTCAGAAGTCTTCCTCCACTCCACCTGACCTCATTCTCCTTGCACCAATCGGCCTGCGTATTGAATTGATCCGTATCAACTCACCACCATGGACGCAACATCCCCCTTCCAGCAGCTGCCGGGCGAAATTCGCCAGCAGATATACCTCGCGTATTTTTCGACCCCTGACAACATTTACGTCTTCGATTTCCCTTCCAAAAAGCTCCGCAAATCCGACAACAGCCCAATTGACATCTCCCTGGTTGCTACCTGTAGAGCTATTGCGAAAGAGACTAGAGGGATGGCATTTCGCCTCAATACTATCAAGTTCAATACCACTTACTCCGATGAGCTCAGGATACTGGCTGGGCGCTTTCACATGTTCATTTCCGAACGCCGTTCGGCACTGAAATCCGACTTCAGCAATCGCGCGGCCTCCATGGACCCTGCGAAGTTAGGAAATGTCATTAACCGACACCCGGTTCTGGTACCAACCATTGAAGAGATAAAAACATATGGGCGCAGCCCCCACAGTGGATATTGGGCTGATGTTCCATCGCGAGTCTACTTTGCCAGTCTCGACGCTCTACGCGCCCATCTGGCCTCTCTGCCCCCTGACGGACTGTCGCTTCAAGCTAGCAACGACCCTCAATGCCATAATGGACTGATGGTAGTCAACAACCCTCCTCGACGCTATGATAGAGAACGTAGCGAGAAGCTTGTTGGCTTTGAAATAAATCCGTGGGATATCCCGCTCGAATATGAATTGGACGACAACATGCTGGAAGACGCAGCCTGGGTAGAGCTCCCGACCCACCTCGACAAGAGATACCATGCCTACGAGCGATGTCGTTACATTGATAATGGGAAATACCGCTTTTCCGCCACAGCTACTGCTATCTATTTCCTTCGCCGCATTATGCCAGAGACCCGCTGCTTGGTTCAAAATATCATGATTGATGAAGACTATCGATCTGTAGCGTTCCCTGAGTGTCATGCGCTCGGCCTAATCCCATTCTGCCAGGAAAACCCATCCCTACGCATCATACGAGGTGCCAGTCTATGGGGCAATATATTTCTCTCGCGAATGGATGAACCTCACTGGCAACGGCACATTCGCTTGACCTTCCACTGTCTTGACCCTGACCCACCCGCGGCTGACGAGTTGCCGCTCGGGGATATTGTCCAAGTAGTAGCAGCTTGGATGTCAGAGGCCGGTATTCTCACCTCCATGGGCATGCCGGTCGGCCAGTTTACGTTTTTCATGGATGGCGATCCATTTCCTGAGGAAGCGTCTGAAATATTCAGGACAGAGCTTCAAGAAGCCGCTCTTTTACAGGAAACCGTGTGCAAGGCTCCAAGGCCCGGTCGTTGGTGCGCCTACGTACAGAGAATAATGGATCATTTTCTCTTTGACGATTTCCCACGACTACTGGCGGATTTATCAAATAATCGGGAATCCGGCATAATACAATGCAATTTTGACCCTGGAACCTCCGTTGGATCACCGGATGAGATACTATCAACCCATCCAGAATGGAGTTGGCAGGAGTGGGAGTACGAGTTGTGGGATCATTTCGAGGGTAGGGATGACACATTGCTACCAGGTTTTGATCAGATGGTCTTGCACAATAATATGACTGAAACCTATTGTCAGAAGTTCCCAAATGGCCCTCCCCGGGGCTCCGTTGGTGACTATCCTGACTGGGATGACAATCAGACACAGCCTATGCCCGACCTTCCCGTACAGGCCGGCGATCCAGAAGAGGCCGATGATACGGAAGAGTCCGACGCTCACGAGGCAGATGTTTAGGGATTTCTGTCTGACGAGCAGATGGGTGCTTGCAAATTCCAAAATCAAAATTGGGTGAAGTCGAAGTCTAGAGCTGAGGGCATCGCTACTTTTCTTTATGTGCCATCCGGTAGATCCTAGATTAGAATAAACAGGGATAATAAAAATACATCAGACTCAGACATGAAAAATTGTGAGGCTGAGGCCACGTCAAGTCATCAAGACGAATCGAAACAAGGCAAAAATGATCACGCCCTTGCGAACCTTGGCCATCCTCAGTCCCAGTATCTAGCAAGGCTTGCAGCTTCTCTCTGCACCCATCGCCGTTCGGTCTTCTTCTTCTTCTTCTTCTTCTTCTTCTTCCTCCTTTTTCTTTGACCATTAGCTACCATCATAGCTGAAGGTGGGATTTGAAAGAAATCCACCAAAATCCACTACTGGCAACTTCATGTTCACCTTTTCACGATCGGGTTGTCATCATCTGAGTATGTATATCTTAAAAGGATTCTTCCCTTGATGTTTATCGTTGTCACTAGGATTTCCACCGCCCGCGATGATAAATAAGTAAACGCATGAATAAAATTGAATAGTATCAAACGGGAGTGCTGCCTACATACAACTGCCGCACCCAGCAAATCCACAACCCAAGGATGCCAGGCATCAAGCTTCACTCACATACCTTGCCCGGCCGCCCATTGGGTCGGGTTCAGGCTAACCCTGCTGGCCTCGCCGGCAATCGTGTTGACAAGCCCATACACGTCACTACCGCTGCACTGCCACAGATGGATAGACACTCCCAGCTCATCCTGGCGCTCCACCTCGCCCAGCAGCAATCGCCACAGGTCCTGGTTGGGCACGAATCCTGTTTCCGGTCCCCAGGCCCTGGCGCGAACTGTACCGACGTCCAAGAGGTACTTCGAGTCCGTGATGATGATGACATTGTTGAAGCCCTCCTCGGCCCAGCTACACGCGCGGACTCCCGCGATGAAGGCGCGCAGCTTGACCCGGTTGCTGGTTGGCTTGATGAACCCGCCGGTGAAGGGGTTGCATGCCTCCACGGCGCCGCCGGCCGAGTTTTCCCCAGGGCCAAAGGCGATGCCCCAACCTCCCCTGGCATGAGCTGTGCCGTTGTTTAGACACGAGCCACTAACTATGACAAAGGCCGTTGAGGCGTTGTCACGGTGGATGTAACTGAAAATGAATCGTCAGCTCAAGGCTCTGTCAATGGTTCCCTTCCCGCCATATTGGTGGCTGGCTTACCGAGTTGCTCCGCTCAGCGCGGAGTGATTTTCAGGTCTCACCAATTCAAAAGGATGGGCCACGGGGGATTGGAAGGCTAATGGGAATACACGGCCAGTCCCGGCTCTCGGCTCCAGGTGTTGGGTCTGGGGATCGGATCCAGCCCCAGCTTGAGGAGAATCAAGCTCGGATTCTGCGAAAGGGTCATCCTGAGGGTCGGCTTCGGGCATCCGATCATGCTCCGGTTCTGTGAAAGGGTCATTTCGACCTTGAAGAGAATCAATATCGAAACCTGCGAAAGAGTCATCCTCTTCAGAATCACTGCCGAATTCTGCGAAAGAGTCATCCTCTTCAGAATCACTGCCGGCTCCAGACATCCAATCAAACTCGGAATCTGTGAAAGGGTCGTCATTGAGGTCGGATGAAAAGCCGCCGCCTACTGAAACATGATGTAAGAGGCATTCTTTTCCCGTGATGCCGGCCAACGCAATTACTTACGGATCATGAAGAGCTCGTCCTCTTCACCCTTGTCGGCAGGGATGATATCATCTAGGAAGCTATAGTCCACATCGCACGTGTCGCACGTACTGAAGCCGTGCTGAATACAGATGATCCGGCCGTTGTACATTTCCCTAATGTTGCCGTGGTCGCGACCAGGGGGGAGAGAGGCGGCAACGAAGGGATTGGTAGCTTGCGACATGATTGAGGATGAATTACCAGCGAGGTCGGGCACCTTAGGCAGTATGAAGCAAATTCGGTGACCGTTAGAGACGGAGCGTGATGAATGATGCAAAGAGCTGGAAGTTTGGTGTGTGAGGGTGGGATAGAACCAGAGAAAAGAGTGTCGGGCATGAGATTTTAAATGCATTTTCCAACTCCTCAACGCATTTGTTTGGACGCATTGATTGGTTTGCCACTGCTTTCAGCTCGCCAGGACGAAGGCGAGTTTGTGTTTCAAATTCAGCAGCATTATGGAGCAGAATGGTTTTTTTTTACGAGTCTAGAAGCATACGTTTCAGCAGCTAATGCCAGTGTGGCAATCAATATCTCGATGCAGTGCCTAGACGGAGAGGTCAGTCAGGCCCCTTCTGATCACTCGTCTTAATGAAAGACAGCTCAGCCGGGTCTGGAGCGATCTCTCTCGTCTTGACGAAAACAGAGAGGTCAGGTCCATAAGGATAGAGCGTCGCAATGGCGATGGCCGAGCTGAGCCTGGACTCAGCCACATGTGATATGTGAACAAAAGAAAGGTGAAGGGTGGGTAAGGAAGCTCTGTTGCCAATGAAGGTAACACTCCCCTTTCCCCCTCCGAAACATCGCCATACAATCTAGCTGGATTCCGTCTTGGTGGACCTTGCACACGATTCAGTTTACCTCATCCTCCAATCATGAGTAGGCGACTCCTTACAGCAGCATGATACAGTCTTTCCAATATTGCCAGGATCTAGCCCCAAACTTTGCTGGCCGTGAGCCAATACAACTTCGGACCACCCGGTTGTCTAAGACAAGGGGTCTCGGAGCTTCAAAAACCGACCCTCTTCTGAAATCTGCCTTGGATCTGCCTCTGTTTAAGCGAGATCGCCATGCCGGTACTGTCCCACAGTCCTATCTTCGCACAGGCCAGCAGCGTTCACCGCCCAACATTGACTGCACGAAGCGATTCCGTTCCCTCTTGCAAACACCTCCCACAGGTATACTAGATGCACCGTTGATCTGTGCCTATGTGAACCCGTATCACATTCGTTCCGTCAAGACACCAAATTTGTTTTGTAACTCACAACTGGGAGTAGTATCATAAATTCTAACTAATAAGTAATGTCAATGTGGGTTAGTATTTGATAAGCTGCTTGAAGGCAACCCCGCTTATGTTCTTCATTGATGATTAATTCTCGTCCCTCGACTAACGCGTGTGCGGGCTGCAGGCTCATCCACCACTTTCTCCTCCCTCGTTTATCTGCCTCCACGCGACCGTTCAACAATCCATCGACATACCCACCTACATACTAATCAATTGAAATCACATTGACCGGTGCAATGGCGGAGAAGGCGCTACTGAGCAGCCCATTGGGCTCGCCGTCAACAGCACCTCCGCGGCACCGAAATCGGCCTCTGGCACACATCGCACGAGGCATTGCAGTTCTCTCCATGCTGCTGCTCTCATTCCAAATCTTCCACCACCTGTCACCTCGTAATGTTCGCAATGGTGGACATTGTATGCGACCTGAGACTCTCGGAGCACAGAGTCTCTCGCGCTGTCCCGCTCAAAATAAGGTCTCTCCCGTGGCCAGGCCTGATATCACCGAAAAGAACGTGAACCAGTTGTTCAAGTCCGATTCGTTCCGCGATTTGAGCGTCCAACGGCTGAGTGGCGCGATTCAGGTGCCAACTGAGACCTTCGAGAATTTAGGTCGGCTCGGGGAGGACAAGCGCTGGGATGTCTTCTACAACTTTGAGAAATACCTGAGGAAAACATTTCCCTTACTGCAAGTTTCATTTCATACATCAGCTCATCACTGTTTTTTTGACGCACTTATACTCATAACTTGCCAGTCACGAAAAGCTCCACCTTGAACTCGTCAACGAGCACGGACTTCTCTACACCTGGCAAGGCAGCGACGAACAGCTGAAGCCGATTCTGCTCATGGCGCATCAAGATGTGAGTGGCTTCAGTTATTTGATGATGGGCATTTGATGCTAATGTGCCGCCACAGACCGTTCCCGTGGCCGCCGACACGCTCTCGGAATGGAAGTATCCCCCTTACTCAGGCCACTTCGATGGCCAGTTCATCTACGGTCGGGGAAGCCAGGACTGCAAGAACAATCTGATTGCAATTCTCTCGAGCATCACTTCGCTCCTAGACCAAGATTTTGTTCCCCGGCGAACTGTTGTTCTTTCATTCGGCTTTGACGAGGAAACCAACGGTTTCCAGTACGGCGCAGCACGGCTCTCCAAGAGGATCACCGATATTTGGGGTCCGGACTCCTTCGCAATCATTGTCGATGAGGGTCAAACACTCATCGTAGATCGCTTCGGCCGTAGCTTTGGAATCCCCCAGGTCTCAGAAAGAGGCTACTTCGATCTCGAAGTCACAGTCCACATTCCAGGCGGGCACAGCAGCATCCCGCCGGCTCATACCTCGATCGGCATTCTTGCCCAGGCCGTCACGACGCTTGAAAACGCTGCCGAGGCCAACTTCCCGCTTGAGCTCAGGACTGACAACCCTTTCTACACCCTCCTGCAGTGCGCAGCAGAAGATCCATCGGCCGAGATGCCAGATGAGCTTCGCGACGCGATCGGCGACCCCAAGGGCACTTCGCAGATTGTCAGGCTCCTGTCGCATGACCCCATCATCAAGAGCCTCTTCCACACCACACAGGCCGTGACTATCTTCCAGGGTGGCAACAAGGCCAACGCGTTGCCGGCATTCGCCAATGGCCTGATCAACTACCGCGTCTCCAGCACGGAAACCGTAGCGCAGGTCCGCGAGAAGCTTATAAGCACGCTGAAGCCCGTGGCAGAGAAGTTCGGCCTCGAGTTTACGGCCGGGCCCAAGCCCGCGGTCGGGGAGCCGCCAGCCGAGGTTCCCGAATACACGCTGGCGCTGTCCTGGAACGATGCAGCCCTCGAGTCTTCGCCGGTGACGTCCACGGACTCGCCCACCTGGTCCGCTCTGTCCGGCGTGATCAAGCATGTTTTCGACGAACCGGTCGATGGGGGGGACGTCACCGTGGCACCCATGCAAATCATCGGCAACACGGACACGCGGTACTATTGGGATCTCAGCCCCCAAATCTACAGGTTCGGGCCGGGCAGGGACCGACACAATGACGGCCCAGGGGGGATTCATGATGTGAATGAGCATGTAAGTCTCCGGCGTATTCCCGCCTTGATCTGACCCTCGTGCTGATACACATTCTTTTACGCAGGTTCCGATCGAAGTTCACCTTGAGGCTATTTTGTTCTTCCACGAGTTCATTCGTGTTTTTGATGAAGCGGACCTAGAGTAGGATAGACAGAACGCGTCCCGTTCGGTTAATCGCCGCATTTCCAATGACGGGATTGTCAGGAATCGACCCCCTGCTTGATAGGCATGGCCGGTTAAATTATCTCGTATACCGTGTCTCATGGTACTTTAGCGTCTTCATATTTGCAGTGACATGTTGTATTTCGCAAATCTGGAGCTCTAGCAAGCTGCCATCAATGTTGAGTCTACCAACCTAGTCACTATCCTCAGGGCTTTTGAGGAGTTTCAAGCTACATCTACGAAAAGGGCTTTGGATTTGATGAAGTGCGCCCGATTGAATTACCGCCATTTCCAATACATGTCTGTTATAACCCCATCGCGAAATTTGTTGAGTGGATACATCGCCAGATCCCAAGGGCACTCATTGCCGTTCATGAAATAGGAGCATCGCATTGTCGGCAGGACAGCGAGATTCCCCAATCACGCTGGGCAGACAGCAAAAGTGCAGATCGCGATCGGACGGTCCATTTCAAAGTCCGCCCGGCAGATGAGGGGCTTGCAGGGCGAGGTTGCAGTGAAGCCACGTCTTACGATTTAAATTTAGCCCAAGTACAGCTTCCTTCCAGCATCATCGCCCACGGCCGCATTTGACGTATATCCAGCAGCATGGCAGACGACACCTACAACCAGGTCGTATACATGGGGAAGCCGAAGCTCGGTGGGCTGCCCAGCCTGGAGACGGGTGTCCTGAAGACGACCCAGCCCGACCTGTATCGCCTGCTGGAGGCGCTGATGGAATCCTCCAAGGCTACGGCTGCCCAGGCAAGGGAGATACTTGCTTCCATAGACGATCGGAAGACTATCCCGACGCCTGCGGGTCAGGAGATGGGCCAAATAAGCTCCGTAAGACGACAAGCCAGGGAGCTCAAGAAGATGGCGGAGAGCCTTAGTGATGACAGTGAAGCATATATCAAGGCATATATCGTGTCCCTTGCTCGACCAGGATCGCCAGAGGAGAAGATGCTCTCTCACTTCAGGAGAGATGTAAGGGATATCATTCAACATGTGCTCGATAGTTCGTGCGACGATGCCGACGTACTCCGAGAAGTGTTGGAAACGTGCTACGAAGAATGTCTCAAAGGTCGCCTGCACCCGGATAACTACTTCATTCCGTTATCCGAGGCCTGCCTTGTAACTCCGTACGATCCTCATTTCGAGAGCGAGGCTTACTACGATCATGAGGACCATTTGTTTGAGGAGCAAACCTACACCGAGGCTTATGGTGCGAGAAGTCCTCGAAAATTGGACAATCAGAGAAAAGAACAAGAGAAGACTGCCGAGCAATGGGTCAGGTTTTGGGTTGAAGCACTTAACAAATGCTACGGTGGGCCAACTCTCTTCTACCCTCCGGCAAGTCGCCATCCTGGATGTCAGCTTGCAGATGTCCCACGGTATCTATTCAGAGCATTCGACATTGAAAGCTCGTCTACCCTCAATGGAGACATCGTGGCCTCTATGGAAACCAAGTATCCGCACGGGGGATCTTGGCGCGACAGAATCGACCTTCTCTCCCTACAGGACGAAGAAGCAGCATCGATGCTGTTCAAACATTTGAGAAACATCGAATTTGGAGCAGAAGAGTCCGATAATCTCGTATCGTGGAGCAGCTCCTTGCTTTTCACTATTCAGTGCGCGATATGGAGATGCTATGGCCGTAGACCTCGAAAGGGTCACTGGCAAACACCTTACGAGGTGAAAATATGCGCGATCGATACGACAAAGTTTCCTCGTGGACAGTTTGCACACAGCAAGGCCTTGCTTCACGCATATCGCGGCATCGCTAAACGCGATAAAGAAATGGAGAGCTTTTTCAATCATCGGCTTGACAATCGTGATTACGATAATGGCGAATATCTATCTCAAGGGGCGTTGCACCATGGCGGACGGTCTTGTGTAATGTCTCTCTCCCAGCTGATTCAAGCAGGGTTGTATAACCTATATCCTGAGTTTGATGATGCTGTGGCACGAAAGACCTGCTCCGGCCATGTGCGAGAGCTTCGGAACAACGTATGGTCTGGCGAGTATACAACACGGCGTCTGGAGATGCAACAAGCGTTGAAGATTGCTCAGAAGTGTTTTAAGAATTTCGAAGCATCCGACATAGCACTGGCTCTTTTACTATTCAAAATACGAAGGCTTCGGAAGAGAATATCGCAAGGTACGTTCTGGTCTTCATTATTCGCGGGCCTTTAATCCTAAGACTTTTCATTCTAGATGTCCACGATTACCGTCCAGCAGAGGTCAAACGCTACATGGAGGTCCTTCAATCAATGCCGTCAAGCCCGCGTAAAGAGAGGTTTCAGAACTCTCGCCATGATCAACTTCCACCAGAGCGTATTCTAGAGGACCTTCTAGAGATATCTTGACCCAGTACTTCAGTAAAGAGAATAGCATCCCGCTATTTATTGAGGCTTTTGTTCACCATTACCACTATCAATGAATTGCATTTTATGATATTGGTCATCTTTCATTCAAATCAATCAACTAAACAAGACTTTCTGCCCTAATTTCTCAGCCCAGTAGATCTCTTGTAAACCTTTTTTTCTTGCAATTTAGCCCCTCACGGTAACTGGCGGTCCGCCCCCTCCAAAGGTCATCCCGACAACACTCTACCTACCCAAATTGCGCTCTTCCAATGTAATACTGTCGAGTCTCTCTCGGCCAGGTTCTTTCCATCGCCAAAAGCAACGCGGTGTGCTTGGACGCCACGACATAGCCCCCCGAATACTCGTAACCCAATCATTGACACACCGACGCCATATCAGATGTCGATCTTCGGTTTCGCCTTCGAACTTGAAAGGCCACAGGGAAGTCATAATTGCAATGACTCCGGAGAGGATGGTAACAATACTAATATCCAGAACACCATGTTAGCGAACACAACTTGACGACAGAGTGAAAACAGCAAGCTGGATAGGACGTACATAGCGGTGAAATACGCTCCGGCCATAACAGTGGAGAAATCGCAAACGCCATTCCCGAGATCGAGGTCGCAGGTGAAGCTTGTTAGAGCATACAAGAGTGGTAGATTAACCGCGATGATGGAGATGAAGAGCATGTCCAGGACACCGGTGACCCAAGTCCATCGTGGCCGGCAGGCCATCGCTCCGATGATCGAGACGATCGTCCAACCGCAAAATAGACCAGTCTAGAGGATGGGTAAATAATAAAGTTAGCCAAGGGGCACTGGATTGATACCATGGAAATGAATGAGGGTCCGCGGGGCAATACCGTGATCAACAAGACTATGAGGGAATGAATCTGGTCGTCGAAGCCGAGACCACGGAAATTTTGAGACAACTGATTCTCCAAGAGAGCCCCCAGGATTATTCCCACGACCAAAGTCACGATGCAAGTTAATTTCAGGAGACCCAAAATGAGGGCCATATCATGATGTCCATCACTCATTGTGCCGAAAGGTCAAGATAGCGATAAAAGTTGTTGTCAAGTCTGCAACAGTTGGTGTGAGTCGAGATGGTGTAAGGAAAGAATAGGAGCTGCTTGGGGAGAGAGAACTGTTGCTTTAATACCAAGAATCAATCTACTAGCATCTGTGTTGCGAAGGCAAAATGAGAAAACTTTGTGAACTGGCGACAGCCACGTGTAAAACCCCGGAGACTCGTGACATTTGAAATCGTGAAAGACTCGGGGCCATGGCGAAATATCTGACTTGGTTCCCATCAAATTCAAAGTCAAATCATCTTATGTTTTTACAGCAATTGCCCCTGATTCCTTGGGCTGAGCTAAGAATAATTTGACATCAGATGGTCAACTATGCTTAAAGTTAAGATTTTCTCTTCCTTGTTTAGGTGCAGACTACTCTCTAGGAACGGCCCCATTGTCGCCCGACGCCCTGCCGTACTAAGAAAATCATAGGGTCGATAGTGAAGGTATTTTCAACACATGTGATGGAGAAACATGTCGGCTTGGCAGTGCTAGCGGGATCTCACACAATAATTTCGACAGCAAAGCCTCAACAGGCAAAAGCTAGCATCAGGGTAAGCTTCACAGACAGCGGCAACAAAGTTAATTTCCTTTTCTGCACCAACCCGTCCCCACGTCGAGGAGCAAAAAGATGAGATGGTCACTACCAGGATCGAACTGGCGACGTCCGCATTACTAGACACATATGATGCATGTATTAGTACGGCACTCTAACCAACTGAGTTAAGCGACCTCATTGGTTGTTGAAGTCGAGTTGGAGAAAACTGCCATAAGCATTTCGCGGTATCCTAAAGGCTCCCTGCAGGATCGAATCATTCCAACCAGGCATTCTTACGTATAGGTGATGGAGCAGGTTTTTATTTATATTTATCGAATTCCAGCATCTATATACGTCCCGTTATTTCTTACTTGTTTATTATAAGAGGCTATTGTACTTTGTGTCAATGCCCCCGGTCACAATTGTCTTGTGCACCAAGTAGTCGTCGCAGCCGTATTTGCTTCCCTCACGACCAAAGCCAGAGTGCTTAACACCGCCAAATCTATGAGAAAATGATTAGTTAGGGACGTCACAGAATCTAAGGGAATTGCAAAACGCGGGGTTCAACACTTACGGAGCACCATGGTCGGCAATGACACCAGTATTGACGGCTACCATACCAAACTCCAGCCTTTCGGTGACACGGTGGTAGCGGTTGAGGTCAGTGGTCATGAGGTATGAAGCCAGACCAACCTCAACACTGTTAGCCCTCTTGATCACCTCGTCCTCAGTCTTGAACTTGGTAATGGCAGCCAAGGGACCAAATGTTTCCTCGCTAGAGACGACCATGGTGTCGTCAACATCGCCAAGGACAGTCAGCTCATAGAAGTTATTTCCCAGGTTGGGCAGGCGGTTGCCACCAAGAAGAACCTTGGCCTTCTTAGACACGGCATCCTGGACATGCTCCTCGACCTTGGCCACGCTAGTCGTCAAGGGACCGTGGGTGACGTTGGGGTCAGTGCCAGGACCTACGCGGAAACCCTTGACACCCTCGACAAACTGCCTGGCGAACTCGTCGTAAATCCCCTCCTGGACGTAGATTCTGTTGGCACAAACGCAAGTTTGGCCAGTGACCTTGAATTTGGCGATGAGGGCGCTCTGGACGGCCGTCTTGATGTCTGCATCGTCGAAAACGATGAAGGGGGCGTTGCCTCCCAGCTCGAGACTGAGTTTCTTGAGCGTGCTGGCCGACTGCTTCATCAGCAGCTTGCCAACTCTGGTGGATCCGGTGAAGGAGATTTTCTTGATGACGTCCGACTCGCACATTGCGAGTCCCAGCTTGGGGGTATTCTTCAGAGAAGTAACGATGTTCAAAACACCCTTGGGCAGACCTGCGCGCTCACCGAGAAGAGCCAGAGTGTTGGAGGAAAATGGAGTGAGGCCGTCGGACTTGGCGACAACAGTGCATCCGGCAGCCAGGGCTGCGGCGATCTTGCGAGCGCCCATAGCCATGGGGAAGTTCCATGGGAGAATGAGACCACACACGCCAATCGGCTGCTTCAGGATTGTGGTTCTGGAAGTGGGATTGCTGTGAGGCACGACATCACCGTAGAGACGAGGCGCCTCCTCGGCGAACCACTCGAAAAATCCAGCAGTGAAGACGGCCTCGCCCTCGGCGTCAGGCTTGGCTTTGCCATTTTCCGCTGTGATGATTGCTCCGATGTCTACCTTGCTGGCGGTGATCAGGTCAAACCATTTACGCAGGATGCGCGCCCGGGCGCGACCGCTCTGAGCTCGCCACAGGGGGAATGCAGCTTCTGCGGCGGCGATGGCGTCGTTGAGGTCGTCAAGGTTTGACTCCGGGCACGAGCCAAGCACCTCGTCTGTGGCGGGGTTCCGGACCTCGAATGTCTCCCCTGACTTTGATGAGACCCATTCACCGTTGATGTACGCCTTCTCGATCAGGAGCGAAGGATCCTGAAGAGAAGAAGCGAGCGGAGACATGACGAATGAATGTGAAATAAGTGGCCTTGCGAATTGATAATGTTTTTTCCCCCTTTCTTACTGGCTTGATGAGGAGGTGAGTGAGGAAGCAAACAGCGGGGGATTGAGAAAGTAGGAATCAAGGTTCAGGATCACTGGCACACCTCATTGCCTTTGCCTGCAAGATACTAAATACGTAGCAGGGTCGCTCATCACATTGGCAACCCTTCCATGAGCTTCGGGGGGCAGATGCTACATCACATATTCTCTCCCCGCTCGATTCCGCGCACTAGCCGTCAAACAATGCCGGCAACAGGTAATTTTTCGCTGCCTGACGGACGGATCGCCTCTTCCACACACCCCCTCCCGGCTCGGTTCTACCCCGCCCGGCTGACTGAATAAGTGAACCGATCTGATGTGTCTGGATTCCGGCGAGGGCTAGTAAATCCACTAGGTAAGTGGATGGATGGATCATGGGCATGGACGCTGATCAGTCTACAGATCACCTCAACAGGCAAAAAAAGAACAGTGCGGTGTGGGAAATGCGGAGAAGCGTCGCTCTCTATTGGGGCCAGACAAGCAAGCCTAAATCGCGCTGGTGAGACAGCCTGGCATGACTAGATCAAATGTGTGTAGAGATTGCCTGCAATGACATGATTGATAGCTTGTTAATATGATAGATAGCATTTTGAAGTGAAAGCCAGTCGCTCATACCACAGAGAGCCCCCGATGATCGGAAGAACCTCCGCGTACACAGGTAAGAACTGTGGCTTCAGACTGGCTTTAGATTTGGTGCAATTACCCCATGGTAGGTATTTTGGGGAAATAATTGACGGGCAGGGATCGGAACTGGAGGCGAGGAACGGGCTCGGGATCCGATTCCGGACAGCTTGAGATTTGGTCGAGAGATGGCCTCGAAGGCAAGCCTCTTGGACCTGTCTTACATAACAGGCCCAAGGCAATTTGCGACCCGGCTGTTGCATATTATCTTCTTTGATTATTTTTTTTGCTACTCTCTGCTTGTTCAGTCCTTGTCATGTTCATCACGCCAAGAGCAGAGCGTCCAGTCCTGGTACATCCGGTCAGAGAACTCAGGTGGTTCACTTACCCTACAGCTCACTGACATTCGGAGAGAATCAATCTGTTCGAAAGGTCACGCAAGCATAACTTTATCTGAACGCATCTTCTCTTTAATAGAGATGTCCAGTGAAGGCTCTCAAAATGATCTTTTTAGGTGATATATAGGCAAGGCTCAGCCAAGCCACTGCCAAGTTGACTTGAAATTCGGTGGCGGCGTGTCACTTCTCTCACGAGAATAACGTGGTTCAATTGCCAACTTTCATTGGCTTGGTAAGTTCCTTGTGATTGTCGTCATCATCGCACAGCCCAGTTCAAGTGACCTTCGCCAAGAATTGGAGCCATCATGAACTGCATTTCAATTTCAGCCCTTGTTCATGATTTCATTAAGTCATATTGAGCAGGATCAAGATCACATTTGCTCGGTCGGGTGATTGAGAATTGCCAAGTGAGACAATGTCTTTCAGAGCCCGCATTAGCTTTTGCGACAACTCCGAATTGACAGAAATGCCATTTGAATCAATTGGGCAGCAACAATACAAGAGACGGTGAGGCGTAATTCAATTCATTCATCAAGCAATAATAACTGTGTTGCATCCATCAATCCATTCACTGTTGCGGTGGATCCGCCATGGAAAATTTGCCTTGACGTCAATAGGTACTTACGCTAAATTGCTCCCTGGGAAACTGAAGAAACAGGTGTATCTCTGTCTCGCCTTTCTCCAAAACCTGCTTCCGACAATCTTCTCTTTCGCGGGGTGCAGCCTAACTGCGCAACGCTGCTTGCCAGAACCGGCTCGAGAAAATGGCCGAAGATCTTGACACGAGCAAAATCACGCATTGGCGATCGATCGTCACGCTCATCGTGTTTGTTTTGACCAGTGAGTTGCGCAGAATGACCAAGATAATGGAGATGCAGGTGCTAAGCGGGCAATTTGTCAGACATCAATGTGCTTTTCCCTTTCCACATACCGATTCTCGTCCCCAAATCAATCTATTACGCTTGCCTGGACGGTCTCAGCGCGTTGAGAATAATCCCTCGTCGAAATGAGTCCCCAGCAGATGGCGGCAAGTCGTATGTGCGACTGTGGTTCCCGATGAACCTGATCACGGCGCCCTTGATAGCGGATCTGTTTCTGCTGGCAATTTTGGCGATAGGCCGAAAAGAAGTCCACGACGGCACTATTGGCACTGCGAACATTTCTCCTCTGGATATTATGATTTTTTTCATCACCCTGGCCTACATTGCCATCTCTATCGATGCGTCGGGTCTCATCAGGTACCTCGCACTCAAAGTTCTCCAACGCGCAGGAAAGGCCGGCCACCGCCTCTTCTTCTTCCTGTACGCCTTCTTCTTTTTGCTGAGCGGTTGTGTTGGTAACGACCCTATTATCCTGTCCGGGACACCTTTTTTGGCGTACATGACCCGTGCTTCAAGCAACATTGCAAACCCCAGAGCATGGATTTTCACACAGTTCGCCATGGCCAACATCGCTTCCGCCATCCTCGTGTCGTCCAACCCTACTAACCTTGTTCTGGCTGGAGCCTTTGAGATCAAATTCATTAATTATACCGCGAACATGATTGTCCCCGTTGTTATCACTGCAATCGCCCTCTTCCCCTTCCTACTCTATGTGGTGTTCCGAGGTGAGGGACTCATCCCCAAGACCATTGACATCCATGAACTTCCTCTTGAGGAAAGAGAGAAGAAGCCGGTGAACCCCAATATTCCAAACTCTCGAGGCTCTAGCGGAGAAGGCGATGTCGCAGAAGAGAAGATTCTCCCACTTGCGGAGATCATGAACCCTTTTCTTGACAAGCCGGGCGCCATCTTTGGAAGTCTTCTGATGGCGGTTACCCTTATTACCCTTCTTACAATCAACGCTGTCATGGGAGGACACGGCGAGTTGCATGTGTTCTGGATTACTCTTCCCGCTGCAGTCGTCATGCTCTGTTGGGACCTTGCATTTGGGTGGTTCAAACGGGAAGAAACGCGAAAAATCGCACGCAACGGACAGAACCATCTGGAAATGCTAAGCGGTGATGGGGATATCGAGTCCAGCGCCAATACCAGAACGATATCACCACAAGCTACTACTACTACAAGCCATGGTACGCATTCTGATGTTAACCTCAGTCTAAGATTAGTGAGGATCGTTCGCCAAGTCAAATCAAGCTAACCAGCAATCTCAACAGAAATCTCTGAGGCCACCACCCAAAGGACAAACCAGGAAATCCAGCAGCATGCCGACAACGAGAAACCACGGCCAGTACAGCCTTCACACGAGGATCCCAAGAATACTCTAAGCGCAAAAGAGCCACAAAACGCATCCACAAGTACCTGCCAAGTAAATTCGTCAGACCATAGGACCCTTGTTTCCTTGATCAGAGATAGCTGGGTCTGGCTGCGAGAGACCTTCCCAAACGCAACCACGGTTCTCATGCTTCTGCCGCTCCCCCTGGTACCATTTGCCTTTGCCATGTTCGTGCTTGTGCAGGCTCTAGTCACCAAGGGGTGGGTGCCCGTCTTTGCGTACGGGTGGGATCACTGGGTAGAAAGGACAGGGACAGTGGGCGCAATTGGCGGCATGGGGTTCCTCTCTGTCATTCTATGCAATGTAAGTCTTCCCACTCTAATCCTCGCACCATCTTTCAGCTAACAGAATGGGAAGTTTGCCGGTACAAACATTGGAACTACAATCCTACTCTCCCGCGTGATCCAAGCGTGGCAAGAAATACATCGCCAGAACGGTATCGCCATAAGCGACCGCACATTCTGGGCCACCGTCTACGGAATGGCGTTGGGCGTCAACTACGGAGCATTCAGCACCGCCTTTAGTGCCTCTTTAGCCGGGCTGCTCTGGCGCGACATCCTCATGAAGAAACATATCAAGGTTGGAAACCTCGAGTTTGCCCGGATCAATGTCCCTATCATTGCATTCACGATGGTGATTGGTAGTGCTGTCCTTATTGGGCAAATCTACATTACAAGAAAAACTACGCCCTACTCATTGTAGCCAATATCCGTGATGAGGAGGTCAACATTTAGCGAGTTTCTAGAGGGCTTTATGGCACGATTGATGAGTTACGAATAATATGGCTTCGTTAAAAGGTCTTTATAAATAGACACGGATAGATACTCTAATGGTTACGTTTCACACCAGATCTCCTCAGGAAAACCTTTATCTTAAAGCTAGCCTTTTGCTCCGTATGCCTCGTCAGGCACATTCGGGAGTTGCTCCAAATCTTGCTTCTCCCCATAATTGGAGAATATTGACCGGGGCTTAGTGCCGTCCAGAAATCGTTAATCTATTGTGTTGATCTCGGCTAGTTTTCCTAATATTTCATTATTTATTAGAATGCTCGAAGTTCACACCATTGCCAAATTGGGGAATTTTTTGCACTCTTCACTCCCTTCTCAACGCTGATGCGGACACAGGTGTTACTCCACGCCTCCCCTGGCGACGAGACCAGTAAACATGCAACACCGAAATCTGACACTTGGCCTTGGTTTTATCCCGGTTTAATCCGAGCGTGAAAGGGAAGCGAAGTCGGGCTGTCGTGTGCAAATATCCTACCATCAGTGTGCTGGATCTGCTTTGCCTAATTAGGGAATTTGAGTGAGTACCACCACACATGCTTTTCGGGTGTCATCCACAACCAAGAGGATACCATAACGCCAACCCCATGATCGGAAGATTCATCCATACACTCCCTCCCGTTCAGGGCCTCCTGGAAGCCCCATGGAACATGTTAGGTCCCGAGGCTGGGCGCAGCCAGAACCTGGTAATCAGAAGAGAGCTACCACACTCGAGAGACAACGGGGCTCTCTCGGCTTCCTTCCGACAAAGTAGGTAATGGAAAATGAAGAAATCCACAGTCGGGGGCAGCTAGCCTCGAAATTTCCCATCTTGGGTAGTTTTGGTGCGGAGAAATGCCATTGTTGGGGAACCTGCCTCCACAGCCGTGAGCCGTCTTCCGGGGCGAACAAGTCTCTTATCGGCCTCTATGTCGGGATCACCACATATCATTCCGAGTGATGCGATGGAATACATCGCTACATGTTCACCATAGAATTCCCCACGATGGTTTGCATCGCATTTCCCGTGGTTGTGAAGATTCTACGTATATAGAGCAGTTTTCTCTTTGATATCTGGTGTTTTTTATCTGTATTAATCAACTATACTCGGCATTTCATCTCTGATTTAAATCTGTATATATTATTTCACAATGGACGCCAAAGACTTAAACACCATCTCCGAGTTGATGCGCAACGCCCGCGCCACTCGCCAACCTGTCGTTGCCCCCTCCAAAACATACCCCAACTTAGACGTCAAAAGTGCTTTTGAGATTGCCAAAATCTCGGCAGAGAGTGACGTCAAGAATGGCGACCGCATCGTCGGATACAAGCTCGGCAACATCGCCAAGGTTATGCAAGATTACTTCGGCGTTGATGAACCCGACTACGGCTTCCTGCTAGCCTCCAGGTTCGAGTACGAGGGCATCAAGATTCCCCTGTCCAACTACATTGAGCCTTTTGTCGAGCTTGAACCCGCGTTCGTCCTCAAGGGAAAGCTCAAGGGTCCCAACGTTACCGTCGCCGACGTTATCAACGCCATTGACTACGCCCTTCCCGCCATTGAGATCATTGACTCTCGTGTCCAAAATTGGACCATCAGCCTGGAGGATACCCTTGCTGATAACGGTTCCAATGGAGCTGTCATCCTTGGCGGGCCGCCCAAGCGTATCACAGATCTCAACCTGAGCAACATGCGGGGTTACCTTGAGTTCAATGGCAAGGAGATCATGGACGGAAACACTAGGAACATTCTCGGCAACCCCCTGGCTGCTGTGGCGTGGTTGGTCAACCGCCTAGCAGAGTTTGATATCGAGTTTCAACCTGGCCAGGTCATTCTGCCGGGAAGTTGCCTGAGGGCTATGCCTGCAAAGGAGCCTGGGCACTGGTCCTGTACTTATGAAGGCTGGGGAACCATTGAATTTGACTTGGCATAATTAGAAAATTAGAATTAATGAATCTGATAATCATTCCGCGCATCGTCCAGATACAGACATATTGATTTTCAATTAACTTAAGCATGATGGAAAAGCCCCCTAAATTACATTTCTTGTTAAGAGCCCCATTTATCAACCTCTCTTCTACATGATTACCCCGCCACTGCCCATTGAACTGAACCCTTTTTCGCGCCCATCCTTTCAATTTCCTTATTAAAACGGATTAGATATCTAACAATCGGTTGACCCAGTATTCTACCATCCGCTTCGTCTAAGGCCCGTATCGTGTGGATGTGTTCAAGGTTATCAGTAGAGGTAGCTACAAGCTCCCTTCTCCACACCTCGGGAAACCCGAGCCCGTCTCCATTGGCTTCTCCAGCGAGCGCATAGATCCCGATCCCTGCATGAACCTACCTCGTAGCTCGTTGATGAATGTAGAGACAATTGATAGGCACTCATTACCGTCCCTGGTCTCTGCATCGAGAGCCAGATCAACCCTACTTGCTTGGTGGACCTGGTCATAGGTCCGGAGGCTCAAGCGATGCCACAAGGCCAGGTCTAGGGGCCCGCGGCTAGCTAGTCTTCCGAGTAGCATGTATCACCTCTCGGGATATGAGTTGAAATCTGGCGTGAAAATCTCCAAAAATCAGACCATGGAGGCTCAAGAGTATACTGAATGCGGGAGATTGAAAATTGTATATCTTTGTACCGTAGGCAGGCAGGATCCTTTCTGAAACTTCCTAAGCGTTCATAAAATTCTCTCGCTTGATACCTGATATGAACCTCAAATTTTCCGCAACTTCGGTTCTGAGCACGATTGCCGACATGTGACCAGCTGGTACGACGAGCGAAGGTAACACTGTACAGAGGGATGGATTAAAGACGAGCTCTGTGAAGGTGACGCATTAAGTAGACACATGGTTTTTGGAATTGACTGGATAGAAAGCCGAACTTATATCAAAAATCAAAGAAAATCGACATTCTTCCTGCGGAAACCGAACGCCAAACTAACGAAACCTTCGACACGATTGAATATTTTTACATCAACTGCGGATCCAAGATATCCGAATTCTCCATTTCTGGCTGGCCCAGTTGATCAACAATATCAAAAAAGTCGAACGAAGATATACCAATATTGTCCAAAAACTCCATGTTGGTCAAGGGCTGGGTTGTCCCTGATGTCGGCGAAGGAGGCATGTCACCCCCTATCGATAGCGGGATACCTATCGTAGGCGGCACTGATGCCATAACCAACGCAGGGTCAATCTCCGGGCCTAGAGATGCGTGATGGCTTGCAAAATTATCGTATTCTGATCCGTCTGGTGCTCTGAGTGTGAGAGTCTCGAGACCTTGCTGTTCGGATTGGCGTGTAAATTCTTGGAATAACGTCTCCAAATGTGCCAGTTCGGCTCGATGGCCCTGGGCCAGCTTGTTTCCCTTGCCGATCATGTCATCAAAGATGGAATGGGCTTGTTGGACATAACCTTGGCCATCGGTTACACCGGGGAAAAGGGAACTGGCCATAACCATATGAAGAGCAGCGCCGTATATGAACTCGAGATCAAATGGCAGAAAGACGTCTGAAATATTTGACATGTCAGATCCCAGTCCAGTATATACAATGCTCTTGGGACAAAAGCACTTACCTGTTTGATTATCATCCTCGGATAATATTTGGATTGTCTTCGTCGCGGATTTGATACTCGTAGTGATTAGTCTTGTCGTCAATTCGAAAAATCCCTGCCAGTCCTCATCTGCCCGCCCCAGCTTCTCTAATCGCTCCTTAAGAACGGATAGCAATAAAGGTCTCGTAGCTAAAATCACACACTAAAACCACGTTCAGACCGATTAGCAGCCACAAACAATAAGACAGAATCTGGATAAAATCATACTTGATGGTAGAGGAGTGTGATATGGCGAGTCCCTTGGGACATCGCAGCGACGGAGTTGTGGAATTTGGCATGGATAATTTCTTCGATTTCCTGGGCGTGACCTGCAAGTGTGTGTAATATAGATTTTGTTTTCTCCAGGAACGCCCCCAGTTCCGTTTTATCCGTCGCGTATATAGCTGTGGAAACTGATGTTAGTTTTCTAGGGGGCTTGATTGAAGTCGTGTGTTGGTACTAACTGCGTAAAATGACTGAAGTCAAGTGTGATAATTTGACTTGTAGATTAAGTATCGTGTCCTCTTGAGAGCCTGTGGTGGATGAGCTGATCAAGGCCGAGATATCACTATCTGTGGTAGACATCGGGATGCCAAGAGATGTTGAGAAGTGACGATCCATTATGTAAAGCGTCCACCAAAGTCGCCTGCATCTTTCAACGGTCTCGTGTCCGAGCTCGCTTTCCGGGAGCCGAGTATGTAATCCTTCCAACTGAGCGATACGCAATGCTTGACCAAGCTAAATCATAGAAAAATAGTCGTGTCAGGTTAGCAATTCGAGAGAACGAGCCTTCATAATCTGACTTACATAAACGTTGGCAGATTCCCTATGACCTATCGAGTAGAGATAGAGTCCGGCCAGGGCGAGCACTTCAACTGCCAAGAGACTATCTTTCCATAGTGATCCCAGGTCTGGAAGGAGCTCCATTGCTCGCACAAAGTATCCCGCCCCTGGAGGCTCATTTCGATTCTTGGCTCTGGAGAGAAACGCGCTTCCAAAGGCCAAGACGATAAGGAACTGGACGAACCAAAGTCGAAGCTCCAACGCTTTTTCCTGCGCATTGCCGTAGTAGAATTCATTCAGATTTTGTAGGAAAGTCTGATCGTCGATGAACTGGTAGTGGTGGCCAATGTGAAACTTGACAGTGTTGAAGAGATATAGTGCTCGATCAATGGATGGGATGCCGCTTATATCTGGTAGGACATCATCTGGGAGTGATCTCCATTTCAGAGGATATACATCAGCGCCAAGTGCACTTGGTGGGCTGTTTTCTAACCTGAACTGCAGTTTGTCCGTCATGGCAACTGAGAGGCGAACATTGAAAGACCATGTCGATGACGGCGCGAGCCAGACTTAAGTTTGTCAGTCAAGCAGTAGATAAAGAGATGACACGACACCAGGAAGGACTTACTCCAATGCCGCCTATTTTTATGAGTGTTCTTTATAATAGTAGATGGTAATGCAAAAGGGTTTGTAAATATCTCTAATTGGTCGTGGGTCGTGGTTTCAGGAGATACATCAACTTGGATTGCTTCCAAGGGTGTGACTTTACAATAGTGGAGGTCGAGTGTCAGCGATAAGGAAACGAAGAAGAGGCAGAAAAGAAGTGAAGAGGCTCTAGACGTACCATGACTCTCAAGGATAGACCCAAACGAGGTCTCGTTGGATGGTCTGCTTATGGACTCAGCTTGGCTCACTGGGGATGGCTGTCCAGGCGAGAAGGGTTGATGGTGTGGTTGACCCTGCCGATGGTCTTGCGCTTGCTTGCGGAGCTCTTGGAGGTACCTGCCATGATGAACATGTTAATAGAGCGCGAGGCCTCCTGGTCCGAGCAATATGACGCTGGTTGAAACCGAGAGTGGGGATGGGAAGACAAACTTTTCAGATACGACGACCTTGTTGCCCCCGTCAGTGAATCGGCAGGGAATCAAGCGCCGTTTGCAGTTGGAACACGGTTCATCACCAGAGCATTTTATCTTGCTCTGACGGCAAGCAATGCACCTACGCAGGTCAGTTGCTGTGGTCTGTGACTCTGAGGGTAACGAAGCCAAGGGAATGAGCCTTACGCGTTAGCAGTTCTCCGTGACTTCCGGCGTTCTGGCTGCATCTTGTCCGGCAAAGCTCTGTCACTCGAATTGGAGAAGACAGATGAGTATCAAGATTCCGTCGAACGATGGAGAAGCCGACCCCTAACGTCTCCCGTTGTGCGTCTCGGAGGCGGGTGCGATCGCCGGTACACGGAGGAGGGGAGGATAAGTATGACCAGGGGCAAACGCTGTGAAGAACCAACCACGGGGGCATCGATGGAGTCCCTCAAGTAATGCATGACTGGCAATTGGCCTGGCCGCAAATCGAATGGCGTCACACTTGGCCGCAATAGGGAATCTGGGGGAGGTTTCTGCATTAGCGGGAGGTCTCTGCTCGTAGCGAGGCCACACGCCCCCAACTACAGCGGGGTAGGGCACCTAAACAGGGGCCTAGATGCGCTGGGGCTCTGCTTATCTTATCACCAACTTTTCTGCCAGCGCAACTCAAAATGAAGATAACGAAGGCGATGAGTGAAATACCCACAAGTTGCGGGGTTACATATCGCCAACGATGACAAGAGTCTCCAATTTCTCCAATTCAGTTTGAGGAAAGCTTGATACAAGTAGGCGAGTTGCCTGAACACACTCGGCTTGTGTCTGAGACAGGTGTCTATACCATTATCTACGCTCACAACTATGGCAACTGCATCCTTATGTGTGGAGACTTTTTCTAAATATGGCCTTGTTCTGATATATGAGTTTTCTCCAAACTAGACTCAGTTGATCATTCTGTCCAGATGCCATGTTGTCATGCACTAGTTTCCGAGATGACTTCATAGTGATGATAGGTAAGATAACAGAAAGCTAAGTATAAAACAAAGGCCCTAAATACGGTCAATACATTTTAATGATAGACATGCTATGTAGTTATTTTCACTGCCCTTATGATCTACATAATCCAAATGCCAAACAAGCGGAGTAGGACCGATGTAGTAGTTCAACCGTGATCTGTTAACTATGTACATATGTATTTGGCTTGACAAACATTGGCCTAATCACTAACTAGTCGAAAGCAGGATATCCCAAGCATTCAGAATAATTGTGTAGTATTTTCTCCAGGAGCAAATACCCCTAATTAGTTTAGAGCTGTTTGGGATAAATAAAAGAATATTGATATGATTTGAGCAATCTATGATAGAAAATCATAAATATGGCCCGCAGTTTTGAGCAGCCCATCTCTAAAGCAGATCAAGTTTAGCGGTTGGAAATACGTCCAAACACATCCATGAGCTCAACAAAGGCGGCGGTGATATACGACCACAGAAACACAAGCGGGGACGCCGTGGCTTCTTGGTCTAAAGTTATCGCCAAATTCGGCAAAGTCAGGTTTTCAACTGCCCCTCATTTGAGGTTCATTGGTTGGCGATTGAAAATCTCCAACAACAGACAACTACACTGCCTAGATAATCAAATAGCCGACATTCAACTGCAAAATTTCGAATGGCACCTCAAGATGTTCTTGATGAGTTTTTTCGATATGTCCAGAACGACATCCCCCTTCGCCTTATCTCCACCGTGGAAATGACGCTTGTGGATCGCTTAGCCGTGCAAGATTATTACCTACCTGCAATTGAAGAGATTACTGAGGCAACCCTCGCAAACAGGGTTTCGTCAGCAACCGACAGAGAGGATGTAGTAAAGCAAATCATCCAGGATATAGTCAAGTACGCCGTGCTTTCTCACAGGTGGCTGCCTCGGGGAGAGCCTCTTTTCCACGATCTCATCAACGGCATTCCTGATATCCCTGGACGCGGCAAGTTAGAGAGGTACTGCAGACTAACGAGACAAAAAGGCTTAGCTTTTGCCTGGTCCGACACGTGTTGTATCAACAAGAGCAGCAGTGCGGAGCTGGACGAGGCACTTCGGTCCATGTTCAGATGGTACCGCAACGCAACATTATGTCTCGTCTATCTCTCCCAGACCAACGACCTGTCCGATGTAGAGGCCGACGAATGGTTTACTAGAGGGTGGACATTGCAAGAACTACTGGCACCTCCAGTGGCCAAATTTTACAACAAAGACTGGGAGCCGCTGGGTGAACAAGAAAACGACAAGGAGGATGAGCTGATTGTCAAGCATCTTGTGAATGCCACCAAGTGCCCGAAACACGCTCTGCGCAACTTCTTACCAGGTCCACACGACGTCGATCGCCGAATGTCATGGGCAGCAAACCGTCGGACGACCAAGGTTGAAGATATGGCGTACTCTCTCATGGGCATATTCGGTGTTGTTCTGCAACCCGCGTATGGCGAAGGGGCGGAGCAGTCCTTTTCCAGACTTGTTCAAATGATTATGCAGTCCCGTGGCAGCACGTCAGTGCTGAATTGGGTTGGAAAGGCAGCCGTGTCTTTCAACTCCTTTGCTTTGCCATCCTCTCCTCGTTGTTACATTGGTGACGGAGGCTTCAATACGGAGCGAAGGATTGAAATGGGAATGACCAGCCGTGGACTTCGCCTCCCACTCATTCTCTTACCAGTCCGGGTAGAAACGCTTTGTAGCTTGAACAGCACCGTTGTTCAAGCCAAGATGGAATTTGCGGATGCGCAATTCCGTAGCATGTGCCAGCATGTGACAATATCCGCTAATGTCTTAGGCAGGCATCCTCCAAAGGAAGAAGACTGGGCGCTGGGAGTCTTCAATTATATGCCCCCTGATGGAAATCGTATGACAGGGCTACCAGGGCTTCGAAGATGGTCCGTTGGTTATTTACTTTGGCGTCCTAGAGACACGAATCAGAACCCTGCAGATGCACTGGATGGCATGACGGTACGTGACGATCTAAGGTTCTATGGATGGAAAAAGCTGTCTACCCAGACATTCGTATATTTTACCCTACCGCACATTAAAAAGGGGGAGGTCATGATAGTAAAAGAACACCTCCTAGAGACAGTTTATCTTTGAATAAATCATTTACTTGCGGGCTGTTGATATGCCATCATGATGAAAATTGATTCTGTTCCCGAATGCGTCAAATTAAAATTAACGTGCAGTTTATGCTCGAGCTTTTAAGTTGAGTGCTGAATCCTGATGAATAGCCTAAATGATCATGTGGAAATAACCATGACGTTTAGCCATTGACCTAACGTCGCACCAGACCACAGAAACCAGTTACTAGGTTAAACACTGTACACAAGACAACTAAATCCGCTCACTACCTCGTTGCCATCTTATTACCGAACAGACGGTGTGCGTATAGACTATGCTGTGGACAAGTTGCGGAGCTCGCAGCTAAAAGGGCCGTTAAGCAAGCGAAAGCTCCGCGACTCGAGGCCGCCATCCATAGATGGGGAGAGGGAAACGACGGGGATACGGAGAGTCCAGGTCGGTTCACCGATGGGACATCACGGCCTATGTGGAGAGTTAATATATTACTATGGGGTCCATGCTTGGACTCCATGCCATGTTTCCTTGGTGGAAATGGCTGCATCATGACGATCATCACCAAGCAAGCCTATATCGGCCAAGTCTAGCGGCCGTAGACGATAAACCAAATCAATCGTAGCCCAGATTCACTGATCAAATTACCCATCGGTGCATAGTTCGCCGATGCCCAATGCATGACACGCGACAGAGGCGACTTAGTCATGGAATGTCACTGACAACCCAGGTATATGAGTCGAGTCCACAGCAGGGCCGAATCCAGGGTGACATCGAAGCGCGGGGAAGCGTGGAACCCTCCACCATTTCCTCGGCCATGAGCACCATGAAGTCTCTCCACCCCCGAGATTTTTGGCGATACCTTCACCTTGGGTTTTTGCTACCGGTAGTGGCACCGCAGTTTTGGTCCCCGGGACGGCGTAACTATTGTGGTCCGGTTCCTGGTTCTACCGAAAGGTGGGGAGCAAGGGAGGTTATCAAGCATGAATCATCACGCAGGACAACCTTAACCGAATATAACTCGGGAGAAACCAAGAACAGGTGTCTGAAAACAGCACTTCAATCTCAGATAATCGTACCTATTGAAGGAATTGTTTCCTCTCAATTAGATTAATTGCTGCTCACAGTAGCCACAATATTGAGCATGTAAACAATGACGTTGAATTTTTTACATTCAGCCTTAGGGTAGGTAATTTGTCCCGAGGATATACATCGGCTCCGGTAAAACTCTGGATATTAAGGAGAAAGCCCGGCAAAAACATCCCTGCATGCGACCCACATCCCACTTCATCTCCAGAAACGGAACCCCAAACCGTGGAACTTGACCTCAATGCCGGCGCCATGTGGATTTCGACTTCCGCAACCCATGGCGGGGGAGCATTCCTGATCTCCCCATGACGCCATTCCAAAAGAACTAAGACCCCAAAATCAATTCACTGTAGTTTGGGGCCCCAATGTTACTGGAGCACTTGTTTTCTCGGTGGAGCTTTCTTGTTTTCTTTCCTTGAGCTTTTCGGCCCTTTAATCATGTGGGCAAAGGTATTACGACCTGACCGTTGTGATGAGAGGGAAGAAACACTTCAATCTATGTGATAGAGGTATAAATAAATCGAGGTCTCTTGTTGTCCCCTCTAGACTCATGAGCCGTTATCGAACACCCGAATTGGAAGCAATTCACGACCATGGCGCTCTTTCTTGCCCTTGCCAGCTTGACGCTGGTTCCTCTAGCTTCTGGTCAGCTGTATGATCCAAGTCAGCGACCTGATGGAGCATATGAATACATCCAGCCGGAGAACACAACCATCCTTGGGAACTATGGCCACTCTCCGGCAGTATATCCTTCGCGTAGGTAATATCGGCTCCTCACGTATGTAAATTTGGACTAACCAGACTTCTCCAGCAAACATTACTGGGGTTGGTGGATGGGAAGATGCTCTGACCAAAGCCAGGGCGTTTGTTGCAGAACTAACGCCTGCTGAGAAGGCTGATATGGTGACTGGCCAGCCCGGACCTTGCGTGGGTAACATTGTGGCTATCCCCCGCCTGGGCTTCAAAGGTCTCTGTCTCCAGGACGGCCCGCTCTCTCTCCGTAATGCGGACTACGCTAGCGTGTTTGCTGCTGGTATCTCCATCGCTTCGACAT